CTAGGGTTGGGGATGATGGGGTGGACAGTGGCTTTAGGGATTTAGGAACTTAGGATTTGGATTTTACAGCTAGAGATAAAAGGAGAATGAGATAGGGGCAATGTGGTATTTTTTTATAATTTGTAAATATTAAGTATTAGTTTAATAATAAAAATGTTATTAATTTTTCTTTTTTTAATTTTTACAGTAGGAGATTCTGCTACTTGAGACCTACATCGACATGCGTTCATGCATGATTGGTTGGCATTAGTTTTAATTTGCCACATAGAATGAATATTTAACAGCATTATAACGAATGATTTAAATTAACAAATTTGTAAAAATAAAGAGTTTTAATCAAACTAAAAAAATTATAGAATGTTTCAATAAAAAAAATACAAACTGTATAAGGATCTAGTATGAGATAAATCATTTCGACAATATTGAAATTAAAAGCCACCAATAATCTATTAATCAGATCTAGCAAAAAAAAAAAAAACATGCAAGTATAAGATTGTTGATCATGAGTCATCTAGAGGACTGCTGGCACGTGACATGGCACTCGTTCTGTTAACACAGTCCTACCTCCATCCTTACAACAATGTCCTCGGATGACATTGAAAGAAAATGAAAGGGAATAGGAATTTCATATTGTGCTCATTATGGTATTATGCTTGATTGTTATTAATTATTTGAATTTTCTTCTTACGTGAGACTGGTAAAATTATTAAAATGTTTAAAGATGATATGGTTATATAATGACTATTGATAGATCAAGGATACTTGATGATGAATGATGGTTGTGTTAGAAGGAATAATTGTAAAATAAACTTTTTTATTGGATAAAATATTCTTTAATGATCGTTTGAGGATGGAGAGATTAGTTTGAGAAAACTATGATGTAAGTTCGAGAAAGAAGATGAATAATAGCATTGAGAGGAGATATTCAAAACTAATAATTTTTAAGACTTTTGATTATTTATATAACCAACAAACTCGACAAATTGCATGGAACGAGAGATAAAATTGTTTATTTTTTTATTGCCAACAATCTTTACATTAATTGATATTAGTTGAAAAGATAATTATATTTGATTCTGATAGATCATTGTTAAAAAAACATGATCTCATTATTATTGGCACAAATTGGATAAAATTTGTTTTAGGAGCGTATCTTTATTTATAATATGTATTCTTCGTTTGTTTTTTGTTTTTTGTTTTTTTTTTTTTCATTATGGAGTTGATTTGATCTTCAAGATTGGGGTCAGCTGAGTTTCTCTTGCTGGTGTTCCCTAATGATGCAAATGCATCCACCCGCCAACGTCGCGGGTATGGTTCCATCCCCGGAGCTTCCTTCGTGTTGTTAGACAAAAGAAAAAATTGTGAGCATGCGTGTCGCTTATTGTAGGATTTTGTGAATCTTGTAGAATGACACATGTTATCTGAGTATATTAATTAACGTTGACAAACTAGATTTGTTAATATATAGAATCATTTTCACGTATTGGATTTGACAATAGGAACTCATAATTTGGTCAGGATTTCTTGGTATAACAGTGCAGTCGGCATCCACCACAGGAAATCAAGATCCTGATATGACAAGAGAATGGACTGATTGCGATTTGTACCCGTGTTGGCGGTAATGCCATAAATTTTTCAGAATCCGTATCTTAAGCATTTAATTTGACAGGTTTTATCCAAATTTGTTCCACGTATTCTTTTAATTTTTTTATAAGATAAGAAAACAAAAATAAACATTTGAAAACTAAATTATATTAATTAATTATATTTGTTTGGATTACTTTTTTTTTAACTTACTTTCTTTTAATTATTTAATTTTCACTTCAAATGAAAAAAATTAAAAAAGAAAAGGAGTTATTGGAAAACAATGAATTGGATTAATACGTATACATATTATATGTATACATATAATATGTACATAGAAAGATACATTCAATACAAAATAAATAATAAAATAACTCAATTAATATAAAAATATAGGAATTTCTGATCAAAAAGTTGAAAGAATGCATAAATCAAATCTAAATAAAACCTTTAATTTGATGGATATCAATATCAACACACTGAAAAAATCATATCAGGATATTGATTGGATCTCCATCGAGACTCTATCTTCATTAGATCCATCAATTCCTTGTCTTTATTTGTTATCACGAACATTGCTAGTTACTTGGGACTTTTTTCTTGTCGCGGCCGGCCTTTCTATTGAATGCTACTGGTAAAGCGTTAATTAATCATGTGTCAGCAGAGCAGGAGATGGGTTTTTGACAACCATGATTCCTATCACCAACACCAATATTTTTTAAACTTCAATTGGTTAGTCTATGGGTTAAAAAGATTTATTATCTTTTTTTATCTTCTTGAGTTTAAATAAGATTTATTGTTTAGAAAAATTTATTACATTCTTTTTAAATGTATCTGATCGATACAGAGAGTATATTAAAAAAATTATTTATAAAAAAATTTAATCTCAATTGATATATAAATTAAATAAAAATTTTATTTATCATCGAATAAAAAAAATACTAAAACCTTTTTTTGGACAAACAATCTAATAAGATGGAGATATATTACTCTTCCATTCATCTACATCCACATAAAACTGAAATCATCATTATAATTACTAGTTAGTTACACTTATTCTAGTTAATTAGTTTTCATGGTTTCAAAATTTATTATTTAATTCCTATATTCTTAAATCCGTCAATAACTTTATCCATTGTCAATTTTATTTTTCTTTCTAATTGGTTTGTTTTTAATTTTTTGAAAAATAGGAAAGAGAGAGGGGGAGGAATAGGTGAGATGGGAAATTTCATTAGGAAATAATGCGTATTTTCTTAACAAAAAATTATTAAATTAAAAATTATTAATATTGGTTTAGCAACAATTTAATTATTTTTAATACCATAGAAGCTAATTATATAATTCTAATAAATTATAAGTACTAAATTATTATTAACTTTGAGAACTATCTATAAGTCTAATTTTCATAGAACCAACAAAGCAGTATGCTAACCATAAAGTGAGTATGTTGATAAGAAAACATCGTTTTATAAGTTAGGTTTAAAATTCAATTATTATAATCCGTATTTTTAAAAATTTATTCTCATAATACTCAAGATCATGTATTGCAGATTGCTTTTTAACCATGCATAAGAAAGGATTAGTTTCGAGATGTGCAAAAATTAATTAAAAAGTAGAATGCCGAAAATACACAATAATCTCTCTCGACAGGTAAGCAACTACCCATAAACAAATCGAACCCCATTTCATTTTTTATTTATTTTCAACGTACGCGAGTAAATGGAGCTAGCCCATTTTTGAAACGACAAATGATTGGTTGGCCTTTTTTTTTTTTTTTTTTGAATTTGATACCAAAAGAAAAGGCAATGCCAATTACATGCATCAGAAAAAATATTAATGAGTTTGGAAGCAATTTTACTATTTATTTTGTCTTAATGGTATCCTTTTTAAAAATTTCTCAATCCAACCCTTATATGACATTGACCTGTACGTCTATGTCTTTAGTCTCTTAATTTTTCGCTAACGATGTTACGTGAACGTTAATTTTGAAATATTCTTTAAGATGTGCTCTTTTATATTAAAAAAAAACATAAAAATAAGAGATATATAAATAATTTAAAAGGCTTGAATAAATGAAAGAAACAAATTATATCCTACCAATATTTTTTATTCTCACGTATAATTAATCATTTTAGAAGTTAACAAGAAAATTAAACTAATAAAAAACATAAAATTAATAACATAATTGATTCAAAGTAATTATTTAAAAAATAGATTAAACTATGATTAAAAAATAATCAAGATTTTCTCTTTCATTTTTTTTTTTCATGAAAACCAAATTACTACAAACCACAGATCCAAATTCTTATATATTTGGTTAAAATAATAATAATAATAACAATAATAATCCAATTTTGTTATGTGATTTTCATTTTCATTTTTTTTTTTTTAGGTTTCATAGAGATGATGATTTGAAGATGAAAGATGTAGTGTAAATGTTTTGGTGGCTAAAATTCTGTTTTACATTTAATTGAATTTTCTTATAACATTTTTTCAAACAAAATTTATATTTTATTATGGAGATAGTGATGTGATAATGAAGTGGATATAGTGGGGAGGATTTTTTTTTTTCATTTTACTCAATTATATTTATTAGTTTTCTTATTTTTATATTTGTTGTTTAGATATTAATCTATTTCTTATATATCTTTTTTATGATTTATTTTTTAAATATAAAAAAGTATATTCCAAAGTTAATGGTAAAAGAAAATAGTCAATGACGATGAAACTAATGTTATGGACATAATATTTTTTGAATCTTCTAAAATATCTTAAATCTAAAAATTTAAATTAATCTCTTATTATTTTATTAAACATATAAAGTGAAGATAACTATTCAAATAACTTTGTTATATATATAAAAATTTAAATTTAAAATTATTAAATTAAATAATTAGAATGCATTCCACTCGTACCAATATTCATAAATGCCGAGGACAGAATATCAGCACAATTCTTAGATGTCATGGACAGAATATCAGCACAAGCACTTGACAAAGAGGTTTCAAAAATGAAATATTTGATTAGGATAAAATCGAACTAAAAGCTTGCACAAAATTTCCACATCCGGATTTTGTGGATGAGGTGGTTGACATATTTGCCACATGAAGACAAACTTGTGCCATGCAGGTAGAAAGAACCATGTAAAATATAGATGCATTAAATGAAAAGAAATGCTAAATATGACAGCAGTAAAAGGCAAGTCAAATGTCGTGGCATTCAGGAATTAAGTAGAAATAGTGTTGAATTCCAACAGACCGCAACCCATGTCTGGGCGTTTCGAACAAAATAAAACCTCTAAGCATACGTGGGAAGATTTATAAAGGATCTTTGCTGGAAGATTACTTAAGTGGAGTCACTTGGATTTCCTTTGTAACGCCTCATTTGGCTTAAAACCTCTCTATTCCAACAGTTAAATGGATAGCTTCTACAGAAAAGCCATGGTTTTAGCTTTAGCTGTAGCAATATTAGCATTAGTAAACGTTGGCTATAGTCAAGATACTCTTTTTCCAGCCATCGTAACATTTGGTGACTCATCGGTGGATGTTGGAAATAATAACCATCTGTCCACAATTTTCAAGGCCAATTACCCTCCTTATGGAAGGGATTTTGGCAAGCATAAACCCACAGGGAGGTTTTGCAATGGGAAATTAGCCACTGACTTTACCGGCAAGTGCAAAATATCAAATTCCGAAGATTGGCTGCTTGCCATATATATTCAGGTTCACTTGCCTATGAAATAGTATATACTAACAAATTTGCGTGTCAATTTCTTTATGCAGCTGAAACTCTAGGTTTTAAGACTTTTGCACCAGCCTATCTCAGCCCAGAAGCATCAGGAAGAAACCTTCTTATTGGAGTCAACTTTGCATCTGCAGCATCTGGGTATGATGATAAAACTGCCATTCTACATGTAAGAACGTTTATATCTTGTTTATAACAGTACTACTTTAAACCTCACAAAACTACGCAAGCATTCACAATTATACTCCTTTTCTTCTTCTTTTTTCGGTAGGGTGCAATTCCATTGTCTATTCAGTTAAAGCACTTTAGGGAATACAAGACTAAATTAGTGAAGGTGGCTGGTCGTAGAAAATCAGCATCAATCGTTAAGGGCGCATTATACATTTTGAGTACAGGCACTGCCGATTTCTTTCAGAACTACTATGTCAACCCTTCAGTAAACAAAGTCTACACTCCTGATCAGTATGCCTCATACCTTGCCACTACATTCTCAGGCTTTGTTAAGGTACCTTACAGTTCAGTATTTTCTCTAATTCTCTATTAAAGGCCGTTGGTGTTGCAATGGTAGAAGTCTTGGGCTTGAAATCGCAATCCTAAAGATTTCAGGTTAGAGTCTTGTGAGCAGTTTGTTCATGAAAACTTTGCTGAAGAGAAAGACTTTCTTCAGACACTCCCTCCAAGGATCCCACTATGTGGTGCCTCTTTTTCTAATTTTTTTTTTTTTTACTGTTACAGAACTTGAACAATGGCATTCAGTAGAAAAAATTGCGATTCTAATCCTATAATTAATTTTGGAAACTGAATTTTGAGTTGGGAGCTTTGTTTACAAGCAGGACTTGTATAGTTTGGGGGCAAGGAGACTTGGAGTAACTTCACTCCCACCATTGGGTTGCGTTCCTGAAGCCCGCACCTTGTTTGGATATCGCAGAAATGACTGCGTCTCCAGGGTCAATGCAATTGCCCAGCAGTTTAATAAGAAGCTCAACTCATCTGCAGCTAATCTCCGAAAGCAACTTCCGGGTTTAAAGATAGTTGTCTTCGATATCTATAAGCCGTTAGAAGACCTGGTTAAATCTCCTCTAACTTATGGTACTGACTAACTTTTTTATGAACATAAAAAAGCTTTACAAGGCAATTTGAGTTTTGACAATAAAGATCAATTCTGACATTTTTTTTCCTATAATGTTTGATAGGTTTTGTGGAAGCAAGAAGGAGTTGCTGCCAGACAAGGACTGGAGGGAAAACGTCAGTATTGTGCAATCCGAAGTTGCCAGGAACTTGCCCCAATGCCACTCAGTTTGTGTTTTGGGACAATGTTCATCCTTCTCAGGCTGCTAATCAGGTTCTTGGTGATGCAATGCTTGCTCAAGGTGTCTCGCTCATTGGGTGAGGATACATGACTAGTTTTGCCTGTCCGAATTGTGTAATTACAGTGTGACTACCTTTTTCTACAACTGTCTTGAGAAGCTTGTCTTAATTTTCATCTTGCTGAAGAAATCTGATCTCTACCATCAGCAATGTAATGTATATTTTTATGTTATTTTGTTGGAATATCCTTAAATATTAAAATATTGTATAAATATGACAATAATTATTGGTTTTGTACTCACAAATTGGGGTGGAAAAAAAAACATGAGCAGTAGACATAGTAAACTACTAAAGTATCTGGCTTTATTATATACATATGTATACATATATAACGTAAATCAATTATTTAGAATCTTTTAACTTTTTTAATCTGAAAAGTGAAACTTAATTTAGAATTAAAACATTATGTACACATATTTAAAAAAAAATTGACGAAATCTTAATATATATGAAAATAACTATCACTATGTTGTTACTATTATGGCTATTACTATGGACATTTGCAATTGACATAATCATTATTGCTGACTATTTAAATATTGTTTCTTTCACTTCTATCATTGACAACGCCACCACTTTTTTATCGACATAACTAACATTGGAATAAGGTTTACAAAAGTTGCATTTGTTCTTGCCGACGATGCCATATCTCACCTTAAACCATTTATTTTCATATTTTTTTACTAATGGACCTAATTGAAAGGCTACGAGGATGTAAAAAAAGTTCCAATCCAATTCATGTATTGTAATAAAATTTTCAATTCTTAAGGGATTTTGAGATCTGTCGCACTGGTATTTAAATTTTTTTTTTCGGTTTATACTTAACAAAAAATAAACTATATATATAGAGAGAGAGATTACAACATAATTTTTAATTTGATTCAAACAAAAATAACAAACAACAAATATATTTTGAGAAATATTTACTTAAAGGTTGTTACTGAAAAAAAAATCCATTAATTTCTCTCTTCTAAAACCACATTAATGCTTCTTTTTTTTAATATACAAATAAAAAATGAAATACACATGTCCTTAAATTATTGGATATTAAAATATTATAGATATATGAAAATCGATAGTTGGTTTAGTTGAAAAAAAATAAAAATACACCAACAATCCCCATGTGACAAAGTTAGTAAAACTTACTTATCCTCATAGCATGCTATGAAAACTTGCCTCATCACTTCTGTTTTCAAATATAGATAATAGGTAACAGATATATTGATAAGTGTATTAACTTTCAACAGTTATCACAAATTCTTTCACATGGTTATGTTCAGCCTCTTTTGCGGAAATAGAAGACGCTAATAACAAGTAAATCCACCAGTTTATGATACTAAAACGAATTGGACTGGGCCTGCAAAAGTTCAGTTCTTTCCAAGAAATAGCTCCTTTCTGGTCTTGACAAATGTCTAAACAAGACTTAGAAGATTTCCAACCGAGTTGAGGCTTGAGAGCAGATAAGAACTGAAAATTAACTGCAGATTTTTTTTCAGTGAATTGAATAAAATCAACCTGGAGAGAAAACCAAAATCTCGTTCGAGAATTTCCTCCGTAATTCAATTCAGCCAAAGAATCGAGGACTACATGCTACTTGAAAACCAAAGAAAAACAAGAGCATGTGAGCCATATGACTATGATTCTCTTCTTTTCCTCATTACATTTTGTCTAGTAAATATCCATAACAGAACAAAGATAAGGTAATTGATGGGAAAGAAAAGCAAGCACAGAATGAGAAAGACACTAATGTTCCATTTATTATATGTTAAACTGAGAAAGCTGATGTCCCTCTCTGCTGCTGGAAATTAAAGAGCATTTTTACCGAGAAGAAAACCAGTCCAATTAACGCTACAAGTGTCAAACATGCAGCGCATTTGATAAATGCTACCTGAAAACAAAGCAAGTACTGAGAACTGGTTAGAAATTTGATAGCACGGTACCGCAGACTGACTACATCAAGCAGCTAGCAGACTTGGTCTAAACTTATCAATACTGCATATTTACTTTAATATCTATCATAATATTTCGAGTATCCTCATTTTATGTTAAGAGTCTAGATCAATTTGGATGGCAAAAGAGGTGGTGTTACAAATTTTGATTTCTTGAAGTTAGAAGAAGATTTCTTAGTGATTTTCTATTAACTAGTTCATCGGTTGTTCCCAACGCCAAGACAAGAGAAATGGTTGTGTTAGTTCGAACTTGGAACCCAAGCGTGCTGGCACCGTGCGTCTTGAGCCTGGATAAGCTTGTTGTGGTTGTGAGTCAATTATGTACCTAAACCAATAAATGGTCGTAATGAGTTATAAAGATTAGCTTGCCTAGATTGTAAGATTAGCAAACTGATCGGGGACAAGCAATCATGGGGTTTCGATTTCAACTTCCAACTTGTTAATTTGGGGCAAGTGTAAATGCAATGAAGATATTCATTCATGTAATAGGCATGCTTAAAAGAAGAAGTTGCAGAAATTAATTCAACCGAATACAGACTGCAGTGATGATGCTAATGACCTCACCTGGATAGACAATAGGGTGGTTGCCTTCTTTATTCAATACACAAATTGACCTTTAGCTAGTATTGGTACTTCATATACTCTATTTATGCCTATCTGCACATGTGCATTTATGAAACGCAGCCCATTTGAACAAATTCTTAGGAGAATAGTTTACCCCCACGGGGTGCCATCATATTCTTTCAGCCCTTAATTTTACATAAACCTGCTGGGAGGGATTTCCTGATACTTTATGCACACGTTACATGATACGACATTGTAATTCTCATAGGCAAGAGCTAAGTTCTGTGCATGTTACCTGCTGATAAGGTTTGTGTTGTACCGTCAACTTTTGGCAACTGGCTGCCAGTTCAATGCTGGAAGATGAGCTTGGTTTTAGTCATGTAGTCTATCACAACCAAGTTACAATTTCAAGGGTTTGGATTATAGTGCAAACTAAAATTCAACGAAAGCTAGGCTGGCAAATTTCAGAGACACGGATACTCAACCACCCAAAAAAATCAGCCCCTTTTTCATTTATTGGCTTCTGGAGCTTGAATTTTAGGCATTGGACCACAATGTTGATGGATTAGCTAATCAGTATAGGTTGTTTCAGTTCTCATTAAGTAGAGTAGGGTTTGTGACCATACAAATATTAGACCTAATTTATGATCCTTATCGTTTGTCATGGACATGGATCAACAGCTCGGCGGTTCCTGACGTGCCTTGACTAAACTAGAAAGGCTGCAATCTGATTCAGTATCTGAACTTAGTTCGGATCAAGTTAATCTATATGGTCTAAATCCATTCTATATACCGTAGATTTGAAAATTAACGGCAGATTTTTTAGGTGAAGTGAATAAAATCAACCTGGAGGGAAAACCAAAATCTTGTTCGAGAATTTCCTCCTTAATTCAATTCAGCCAAAGAATGTGGGGACTACATGCTGCTTGAAAACCAAAGAAAAACAAGAGTTGTGAGCCCTATGAATATGATTCTCTTCTTTTCCTCATTACACTTTGTCTAGTAAATATCCATAACAGAACAAAGATAAGGTAATTGATAGGAAAGAAAAACAAGCACAGAATGAGAGAGAATACACTAATGTTCCGTTTATTATATGTTAAACTGAGAAAACTGATGTCCCTCCCTGCTGCTGGAAATTAAAGAGCATTTTTACCAAGAGGAAAACCAGTCCAATTAAAGAGCATTTGATAAATGCTACCTGAAAATAAAGGAAGTACTGAGAACTGGTTAGAAATTTGATAACGCGGTACCGCAGACCGACTGTATCAAGCAGCAAGCCGACTCGGTCTAAACTTGGCAAAGCATTTGCCTCCTTCATCACTTGAACTGATTTTCAACAGTAAACCTCTGCAGCATCAGAATGTTTGTTATATCAGAGTTGACCATTTCCAGCAGATTTTGTTGCCTACCTTGCTCAAGAGAACGTTCATTGATTATTGAAAATACCATGCATGTCTCTCACACTAAAGGGTACAGTCTGAGCACGCAGAAGTTTCTGCAAAGACTATTTAAGCTACATTTCAAGAGAAAAAATGAGAAGCCGCAAACCAGATGATCCTCAGCAAAGAGCTAGAAAGTATCTCCATAGTCTTTCTTTAGCTGTGTGTTTGGATATTTTATTCTGAGAGGAAAGAAAAGTGAGAAGAAAGAGAACTATTTTTCACTTTTGTTATATGTATAAAAGTAAAAATGAAAGAAAAGAACGTATATTTTTCTTGTTTGAATAACTATAAAAAGAGGAAGGAAAAAAATATATTATTATATATTTACTATAATACTCATGTTATTACATTTTTATATTTAAATACTTATAATAAATTTGTATAAATAAATTTTTATGAATATTTTTTTTATTAAAATTACATAAATTATAATAAAATAAAAATTTAGCATTTACCATCTATCCGAAATGATAAAATGAAGGAAGAAATAGAGAAAGCTATATCGGATGGATTAGGTATAGAAGATGAACAACAAATGATAATATCATTTATTTTTTATTATATTTTGACCTGATTTTTTCTCACTTTTCTCTCAATTTTGGAAGGAAAGTGAGTTCCACCATCTTTAAATTTGTTTATTATTTTATTTTTATTCCATAGGTTTCCTTTAAGAACCAAACAGATTAAAATTTTCTTTCCTCGACGCTTTTCTTTTCTTTCTCTAGCTTTTCACTCTATCCAAAAACAATATAAGTCCTCGGATTTCTTCGTGTAATGGAGTAGAGATTACATTTATAAAAAAGATGATGGACAAAAATTAGTTAAAAGAACTTGACGTCCAAAACTTCTAAATTGCTATGGTATAATTGCATTGATGACCACACAAATCCCACTAAAAAGTTCCACATACCACATTGCTTCTTTTTTCTTCTTTTTTTTGCCTTCTCTTTTAGCCACCATTAGGCAAATCTTTCAACTCCTGGTTTTTATAGCTATAGAAGAAGAGCACGTTGTGAAGAGCACTGATATTTGCTGAAAAAAGTCAATAATGAATTTGACAGAACTCTATAATCTATATATATGCATAAGCATAAAACAGAAATAAATCCTGTTCTTAAAAATGCCAAAACTTTATCAGAAACTGCAAAGTATTTATTTGCCTAGCATCCAAAAATAAGGTCCTCTAAAATTAGGTTCATAGTTTCCATTTTGATAATGAGACCTATCAGTTGTAATCAAACGGAATATCAGACAATGAGCTTTCAATTTAGTTTGGAAGCTATTGGATTCCATTACCAGCTAATTAAGTGCCTTATAACTTCTCAATTTTCCATGAACTCCAAATTAATAACAAACCAGGGAATGGAAAACAGCATGGAGTTAATTTAAATTGTGCATGCTAACCTATCTTGCCTAGGAGGAGACCAGCGCCCTACCATCCTCTTTTGCTTATACACTACACTGACCTTTGCCTGCTAGAAACTAGCCGACTAATGTATCCTGGCCCAAAACCCTAAAGAGGCTATCACTTGGATCATCAGCTGTTAAGAGTCTAGCTAGATCGATTTGGACGGCAAAAGAAGTGATGTTAGAAATTTTGATTTCTTAGTGATTTTCTATTAACTATTTATATATATCTTTTTTTAAACTTACACACCCAGACTCCTACCAAAATTAATCTGTTAGGATTTGAAAATTTTCTATTAACTAGTTCATCGGTTTTCCCCAACGCCAAGACAAGAGAAATGGTTGTCTTAGGTCGAACTTGGAACCCAAGCGTCCTGGCACTGTGCGACTCGAGCCTGAATAAGCTTGATGTGGTTGTGAGTGAATTATATACCTAAACCAGTAAAGGGTCGTAATGAGTTATAAAGATTAGCTTGCTTAGATCGTAAGATTAGCAAACTGATCGGGGACAAGCAATCATGGGTTTCAATTTCAACTTCCAACTTGTTACTTTGGGCCAAGTGTAAATGTAATAAAGACATTCATTCATGTAATAGGAATGCTTAAAAGAAGAAATTGCAGAAATTAATTCAACCGAGTACAGACTGCAGTGATGATGCTAATGATCTCACCTGGATAGTCAATAGGGTGGTTGCCTTCTGGATTCAATACACAAATTGACCTTTAGCTAGTATCGGTACTTGATATACTCTATTTATGGCGATCTGCACATGTGCATTTATGAAACGTAGCCCATTTGAACAAATTTCTTAGGAGAATAGTTTACCCCCACAGGGTACCATGAGATCCCCAACCATCATATTCTTTCGGTCCTTAGTAGAGCACAACCCTTCTAGGAGCCTGGGAGGGATTTCCTGATACTTTATGAAGTATACTTGAAATAAATATTTATCTGCCACATGTTACATGATATGGCATTGTAATTCTCATAGGCAAGAGCCAGGTTCTGTGCATATTACCTGCTGGTAAGGTTTGTGTTGTACCGTCAACCTTTGGCAATTGGCAGGCAGTTCAGTGCTGGAAGATGCGCTTGGTTTTAGCCATGTAGTCTATCACAACCAAGGTTACAATTTCAAGGAACTGGATTGTAGTGCAAACTAAAATTCAACGAAAGCCAGGCTGGCAAATTTCAGAGACACGGGTACTCAACCACCGAAAAAAAGTCAGACCCTTTTTCTTTTATTGGGTTCTGGAGCTTGAATTTTAGGCATTGGACCGCAATGTTGATGGATTAGAGTATAGGTTGTTTCAGTTCTCATTAAGTAGAGAGTAGGGTTTGTGACCATAAAAAATGCAAATATTAGACCTAATTTATGATCCTTATCATTTGCCATGGACATGGATCAACAGCTAGGTGGTTCCTGACGTGCCTTGATTAAACTAGAAAGGCTTCAATCTGATTCAGTGAGGAATTCAATTTCAGATCTCTTGAAACAATACCAAGTTCCTCTATATGATTTAAATCCATTCTATATACTGTAGATTTGGAAAAACCAATACAGTACAGCATCCTCTAATGCAATACTCAAGCCGTATATATGCAGACATAAAATCTGATGGTGATATAGACCAGTGACCTGATGGCTACGCTAATGCCAAAGGTACAATGGAAATTCATTTCTTGAAATGAGCAGGCCCATGTTGGAGACCATCCATCAGCTTAAGGGACTCGAGAGAGTGACTTCTAACCATCTATGGAAGGAAGTAGAAATTCGAATGCGGAAACGAAATTTCTTAAGCAACCAAAATTTCATAAAGTTCTTGTGTTTTTGCATTTCCTAGTTTATTAGCCAACTATATTAATATATTAACTACCTAGCATCAGCATGCATGTGAGTTGGCTAATTGTTTAACAACCAGAATTAACTCCAGCACATGCAACTTCCTATTCAGAATGCGCACCCTCATTTATCATCCCCAACTACCCTGCCTCCTCTGCATCCAGAAATTATAAATATGCTCTCTCTTTAATGCATGTATAGCCAGAAAAATAGAAACCTGATAAGAAATAATAATTAAAAAAAAAAAAATCAGTACATAGAAGACAAGAAGACCCACCTTAGCATATGTTGGAAGCTGTATACATCTATAAACGATGAATGTTTTGAATGCCAGTGTTATTGCCTCTTGAACAACTCTCATTTATTAGTCCTTCCCAACTTCCATCCTCCGTCTTCAGGAATTACTACTTAAGTTGAGTGATTTTAGATCTCCTTTTTAAGGACTAAGTCAGCCCAAATCCTTGCATAAAGCATTATTGCAGAAAAATGGAAAGCTTCTACAGCGCAGCGTTGATTTTGGCCTTTGCATTTGCACTTGTGGATGTTGGCTGTGCACAAGAGACTCTAGTTCCTGCTATCATGACATTTGGTGACTCAGCTGTGGATGTTGGCAACAACGACTATCTTCCGACGATATTCAAGGCTAATTACCCTCCTTATGGAAGGGACTTTGTCGATCATAAACCTACAGGGAGGTTTTGTAATGGTAAATTAGCCACCGACATCACTGGTAAGTACAAAAGCTGAAAAGCATCAAATTCCTAAGATTAGTTGGTAACCTTCTTCTTACTCCTAAGAATTTGAATGATGCATTATGAATCAATTCCATTTTTTGCAGCTGAAACTCTGGGGTTTAAGAACTATGCACCAGCATATCTTAGCCCAGAAGCATCAGGGAAGAACCTACTTATTGGATCCAACTTTGCATCTGCAGCGTCTGGTTACGATGAGAACGCAGCTACGTTAAACGTAAGAATTTTTCCTGCGCCAACCTTAAATCTCAGACATAGTTAACCCTTTAACTAGTATAATGTTTAATATCCCTGAAAGTTAACCTGGCTATGCAGCATGCCATTCCATTGAGCCAGCAGCTGGAGTACTTCAAGGAATACCAAAGTAAGCTGGGGAATGTTGCTGGTAGCAAATCGGCATCAATCATCAAGGATGCGCTATATCTTTTGAGTGCAGGGAGCAGTGACTTTCTTCAGAATTACTATGTCAATCCATACGTAAACAAACTCTATACTCCTGATCAGTATGGCTCATACCTTATCGGTTCATTCACAAGCTTTGTGAAGGTATGGTACTCTTGTGAGTTATTTATCATTGTTTCGATATTTTCATCTAGTTCTCTGAAACATGAAAATTGAAAAACTGCTCAGGTTTAAGACTGTCTCCGAATTATCTCCCAGGATTCAACTTCAGTAAATATGTAATGGACTTACTTGAGTTCTTTACAAATTCGGTAGAACATGCAAATTGAATTTCCATGCAAAATTTGTTTTGTTATTTTTTATATGCATTGATGTATAGAGATTATACTGTAGAAATGCTATAATCTAATTTGAGAAACCGATTTCAATAATGGTTGAAAGCTTTGTTTGAGACACAGACCATATACGGATTGGGGGCTAGGAAACTTGGGGTAACTTCACTCCCACCTCTGGGTTGCCTTCCAGCTGCCCGCACCATATTTGGATACCACGAGAATGGATGTGTCGCAAGGATCAACGCCGATGCTCAGCAATTCAACAAGAAGATCAACTCAGCTGCAACAAGTCTCCAAAAACAACTACCTGGTCTTAAGATTGTTATCTTCGACATCTTCCAACCACTCTATGACGTTGTTAAATCTCCTTCAAAATATGGTACTAAATGAACTTTTCTGAGGGACTTGTAGGCTCTTTCAAGGAATGAATTGTAACAAAATTTTTTTGGTTGTGTTTAATTTGTAGGTTTTAAAGAAGCAAGGAGAGGGTGCTGTGGTACAGGAACGGTGGAGACGACAATATTGTTGTGCAATCCAAAATCGCCAGGAACTTGCCCCAATGCCACTCAGTATGTGTTTTGGGACAGCGTCCATCCATCTCAGGCTGCTAATCAGGTTCTTGCTGATGCACTGATCCTTCAAGGCATCTCCCTCATTGGATGAGGATGTATCGCTATTCTTGTGTTTGCAATATATCTCCATTCTGCTCCATTCCTACCTCCTTATTGTTGTTGTCTTAGCTTTTTTTTAAAAAAAATTATTATTGTATTAATTAAAAGTGAGTAAAAAAGTCCTTGTAATCTTCATGCAACTGAAGTGATTTATGTATTATAAGACGTATAGCCAATACTCTTACCTATTACCAGTATTTTCACATATGAGAATTCTGAGAACTGTGTGAATCGCTCCTAGTAAAAATTTACAGGACAACTAATACAGAGCATTTCTTCCTAGAACAAAACAGTGCAAGTAATGCACCAACTGGAAAATTAGGAGTTCAACTAGAAAAAATCTTAAATGTTGACGGAAACTGGTGAGACAAGTGCTCATCAAATTGGATAGTTGTAGCGATACTGACTAGTAGCTCAAGCAGCACCAGCAAATGAACTTGTCAACGTACTTTCCCCCTGAACCACTTGAACTCGGTGACCTCCAATTTGCTCATTTCCAATGGCTTTCTGGTGTCTTTCCTACATGTCAGGAGAAAGGAGGGATGGGAAAAGAGAATCAGGCAAATAGAATTTTCTTTGCAGGCTGCGATACTTTCAGGGAAAAATTATTGAGAATCTACAAACCTGAAATTTCTTTACAATGGGTTGAAGAAGATTCTCAATGTTAATGACGGTGCTGTCAGTAGATTTAGCAGCAGGAAGACAAGTGGTAGGTGGTGGTCCAGTGGAAATATTTTCTACAGTTGCTCCTCTCTTGCTCTCCTTCCTTTTGGAACCGAACTTTTGACCACCAGCAAACCCAACGTTCAATTCTCGTTTGCTACAATTAGAGGTTGCAAATCTCATGGACTGTAAAAAGCAGAGCATGGTAGAAATGAGAAAATTAAACAAATGGCTCGGCATAATACAAAATCTACTAAAAATACATTGAAGGAAAAGAATTTCCGACATCTGTTACAACTTCTGATTATTCATGTAAACAGAAAATCATTGCTGTAGATGCTTTCGAATGATAGTAGCATACGTGTTGGTAGGACTTGTCTCTGGTGTTCAATGTGCTCCCTTGATGTGTTTCTGCCGCTGGCATCTGCGATTTGACAACACAAGACAGTAATCTAAACAGAGGGATATTTCTATTAGCTAAAAGTTAGTTGCAGAACAGTAGAGTCCTTACATGTGTGGAAAACTTTTGCTGGTAATTCTGTGCCACAAAAGGATACTGAACACCAAAATTTTGGTACAACATTGGATGGTGGAGGAAAGGGAGCTGTGGAGATTGAGCAAAATTGAAATAAAATGGGTGCACAGGTGAGGAAACAGTATTGCAGTTAGAAGGATAGAAAGACTGAGGTTGGTTCTGTCCAAAGAAGTTGTGCAGTTCATGATGGTGATCCCTTTTGCAACGAGCTTTTGCCACATGCAGAATCTTTCCTTCGACAAGGGCTCCTGCAAAAAATATAAATCACATTTTAGTGAATGATAAAACTAATTAAGCTAAAATGAAAAAAAAATTACATGATAAAAGAGAATGGATCAGTTTTACCATTTAGTGTATCCAAAGCCATCTTTGCTTCTTCAGGGCTTTCGAAACAAACAAAACCAAATTGTTTACTTGTTCCATCATTATGGCGCATCACTTTTACTGAAAGTATCTTTCCATAGGCACTAAAAACCTCTTCTAATTTCTTGTCATCAATGTCTAAATTCAAGTTCTTTACATACAGATTTGAAGCCCTCAACTTCTCAGCACGGCTGTTGTGCAAATCCTTGTACTCTTCTTTTATTATCTTTGTTCTTTCATCTTTCCTTTGAGCCTTTCCCACAAATAAGGTTTTCGAACCTAATTTGGATATTGATGTTTCATTTGTTAAAGAAGTTAATCCTTTCATAACTTGAAACATACATATAATCAAGGGATTTTTTTTTCTTTGATAAATATATAAGCAAGGGAAATTAAGAGAAACTGGTTTAAAGTTTACCTACTACAGAACCATTCATGACGTCAACAGCCTTTTTGGCGTCATCTGGAGACTTAAAGTTGACAAAACCAAAACCTCTTGATTTCCCCTCTTGATCCATCATGATGGCAACACTAGAAACGTCACCAACTGCAGAAAACATATCCTTAAGGCCATTCACTGTTATAGTTTCATCTAGATTTTTAACATAAAGATTGGTGAACTCTTCGCATGGCGCTGCTGCTGCTGTCCTTTCAGTCTTCTTGACAAATTTGCAGACATACCTGAGATGGAAATGCAATTGTTCAATCATGAGATACATAAACTAGCAAAATTGACAAATTCAGACGGTAGAAGAACCTCTTCACATCAAGAAATGGCAGTGGAAATCATGTTAATAGAGCATGCATGTGTGGAAGTTGAAAGAAGCAAGCAAGCAAAACAAGCGCAAGACTAGTGAAAGTTTACAAGTTCCATTACTTAGGACAAACAAATCTCCCAAGTCGTAATGTCTTGATTAGGCAATTTAGTTCACATGGCTGATTTAACATTTGGTTGCTGAAATTTCAAGACCCCAGCAAAAATTATATCTCATAGTCTCACGCAAATCATTAAATCAATTTCAAAACAGGTATCTACAATTTGACCTCGTTCAACCTCATTTAGATAACTTCCACTATCCGGCCAGCAGCAACAGAGACAATAAAGGTATGATTGACAGATTACCCGACTTATATTTAACCACAGATTTTTCTCATCGAAAGAAGTTGGGCACGATGCAGTGATGCACTACTTTAAAACAACAAAAAACTACAATCATTTTCAAACAATTTCTTCTTCGTTGCTCTTTCCTCTGGTTTCCTACCAACATTTTGTCAAAGAACAAGAAGCTCATTCAAAGAAACCTAGTCATGTCAAGAAACAAAAAAAAATAATAATCAAAGAATCAAAGCAGATGACACCGTGAGTAAAGAGCGAAACAGTGAGACAAAATAAACAGGACTCACAATTTCTTCCCACCAAGCATAGTATCATGAAGAACAGTTTGAGCAGCCAGAGCAGAATCCTCTGTTTCAAACTGAACAAACCCAAAACCCTTACTCCTTCCGTTTTCTTCAGCCACCTTGCATGAAAGTACAGTCCCAAACTTGCTAAAAATGCTCTCCAAGCTAGAGCTGCTGATTGAAGAGTCTAAATTCTTGACAAAGAGATTGGCAACGCCAGTCTTTCTAGCAAAAGGGTCCCTCTGACACCACATTATCCTCATGGGTTTCCCCTTCAAGTTAGTGTGATTCAGAAGACCCAAAGCTCTAGATGCTGAAATCAAAGAAATAGAGACTCAAAAGAGAAGAAATATCTGTATGTAGGAAACGAAGGCCATAAATAATACAGAACCAAGAAATGAAAAACGAAATCCCCATTTCTTGGAATAAATAATACATTTTCTTTATTCTTCAAAAAATGAAAAGAAAAAATGAGTACTACCTTGAGCATGAGAGTAGAAGTTGACGTAGGCATAACGGAGAGATTTTCCGGAGAGACAACAACGGCAGAGTCTCAGGGAGTAAATGGGGCCCACGTGGTAAAACGCAGCTCTCAAGTCCGTTTCTGTCACTTCCGGGTCCAAGTCACCAACGTACAGTGACGCTCCCCTCTGTAGTACTTGTTGCTGCCACGGCGCCGCCGCCGCTGCCATTTCGTTTCTTGTCTTTCTTGCTTTCGATGCACAGAGAAGAAACAAAAAAGAAAAGCAGGTTTTTAGAGAGAGAGAATAATGGCGTTTTGCTTTCTAGAGTGAGAGAAGGTGGGGGGAAGAAGAGAGGGGATGTTTGTTTGTTATAACGGTGTGTTCGGTGCGTGCTTTTAAGCAGGTGCGCGTGGGTATTGTACGGAATGTACTCGCCTGAAGTAGTAAAACTTGGAGCATTCGCTACAGTTTGATGACACGTGTTATAATATGAATTCCCCTCTTCCAAGTTCTCTTTATGATGGCACAAATAGCCTTGTTTTTTTCTCTCATTTAATTGTTCACGATATCAATAATTCTATTTTTTGTACCAACAAAATAATAATTTTAGCATGGCGATATATAAAGAAAACTATTGGCTGTTTTGTTATTTGATGAATTGGTATTTTCATTTTACAAAAATCTTTTTCAAACCATATAAAGTAATGATATTGTGACATGTTTTTATTCTAAAAGAATAATATTGTTCATAAAAGTTAATTGCAATCATAAGTCTTCTCTCCTCTCTGTTCCTTCTCTCGGTTTCTCGTTACAAACAAAGCAAAAAAACAAAAAAAAAAAAAATCACTATAACCCTCTCAATTCGGGGAATTTTTGCCCAAAAAAAACACCGATGAGCTTTTGATTACACCGACGAAGAGACAAATAGTTGTTGCTTAAAAAGCATCATTCCGTGTTGTTATAAAAAGTTTTTGTTTAATTTTTTAAAATGGCAAGTTACAATTATCTTCCTAATTTTGTTTATCCTTATACCACAAAGATCGTCATGTATTTATTTGATTTGTATCATCAATAAAATTATTATTTTTATTAAAAAATTATTTAAAAATTATTTATTTTTGCTTTTACTTATATTTTTTAAATTTATATATTCATTTTTTTCCGACTATTTTAACCATATGTGTGTAAAACAAGAGCCAAAATAACTAGAAACCACTAACGGAACAATATAACCCTAAATGCGTGAAAAAATTTATATTACTCATGGAACAATTATCGATACTTGCTTCATAAGATAAAAATAAACACAAAGAAGAGAAATAAATAAAAAATAAAAGGTTAAAAAAGAAAATTTGAGGTGAGATGAAAATATTCTGATCATTTTTAATAGGATGGATTGATTTTTTTTTCTTTTTTTGCCTCTCTCTCTTAAAAAATAATTCAATAGAATAACTATTATAAATATATCATAATTACTCTTGAAATATTTTTAAAATTTTCGATGTACAGTCTATCGTACCTCCTTATAGTCATGGATATCAATATCTTCATCATAAATTTCATATTTCTGTTTCTGGCTCCCATGCTATTGACCAACATAAAGAGATACAAATTTTTTAATAAAAAAGGAAAAAGGCCTGAGATAATACAGTATTTTTAGGATCCCAGTTGTCTTTTTCCGGATTATGTTTGTAACTTGCACGATTTTTATCTAGTTACTTAATTTTTGGTCTGATTTTATTGTCGTTTGCCGTGTGGTTTTGATTTTTGAAACCACCACAAATCCAGTGATTTCTGTGTCTAAAGAAGGCTAACTTTGTCTTGATCCACAACGAAGCTTTCCAGTAGGGAATTTTCTGACAAGCTACCAATCAGACTTCAACTACTCTTAATCCCAATTGTGCAAATAATCTCCAAAGAGGGAGGTGGATTGAAAAGCATCCAAGATTCTAATTTAGAAACTTTGACAGTTTTGCCGCGTTTTAGAAGATGAACATGGCAACTCTTAACAGTTATCATTCATATAAATGTGTATTTTCTACATAAAACTACTTTCTATGCTGTCATTAGTAAAAGAAGGTATGGTGAAGTCACTCTGACTAGTATATCCTTTGCTAAAGGTTTCGGGACTGTACATGGAACGAGTAATAAGGTGGGATTATTCTGAAGAGGATCGATGGAGAGCCTCAAATGAGCCGATTGATGCTGATTTTCTGTGTAACTTGTTCATCCTATTGCCACTTCCTGCTCTACTTCCAGCGTCCTTCAAAACTTCAGCAAATTTCACCAACTCGGATTTCTCAATAGAATACAAGTCTTGATCCAGTAAATTGTCAAGTGACAAATCGCTAGTTCTACCTGATGAAAATCTCCTATACCCTCGAGAGGATCCTGTCTCACTGTTTCTCCGACTGTTCTCCAGACTCCTGAGTCTTTGGATATCCATAGAATGTCTGGATGAGTGTCTGGATGAATAGAAGGATGGGGTTTGACCTCTAGTAAATTGCAGATCACTTGTGGTGTCAGTTCGTGTTGAAACACTTAAACTCCCATTTGGAGAATCAGAATCTCCTGTCACTTCAGTTCTATCGCCTGATGATCCATGTCTGTGATGATGAGTCTCCTTTCCCAGTAAAAGTCTCCTAAGCTTGTGGAAAAACTTGGTTTTGCTTGTGTTGTTCCTTTTTTGTGATAGAGAATCATCAAAGTCTCCCGAGTCTGTGATATAAAAGGCTTGGGACGATGACCAAGGATCAGGTTCAAACTCCATTATGTTGATCCCTTTCTCTGCCATCCCTTCACTATTTGCATATTCAAGTATAAGCTGTTTTGCTTTCTCCTCAGACCTGGGGCTTAGAGACTTACTAAGGTCTCTTGCAACAGTTTTACCATGTGGAGGCTGAAAATTGCGCAATTCATACCGCAAGCAAGCATTTATCCATCTGAGATAGACTAATTCTTCAACATCAATACACCGGTCTGCTTGGAGTTGCTCAACTTCCTTCGTCAAGTCCTCATTTTCCTGCCTTAATCGATTGCCCTGCTTCCTTAATGTTTCTGTCTGCAACAAAATGAACTGGAAAATGAATCACAGAATAATGGATATAACTGAGGAATGATGCATGATTTATCAAGAATGAACTAGTTACCTCTGGATCCTCTAGAACGGAATTAGCAAGGATTTGGGTAGACTCCAGTTGAGAGGCCAATTCAGAGTTTTCTCGATGCAATCTAGAGTTAGACTTCCTTAACTCTTCTGCCTCAGTTTCCAAATCCTTCAGCCTTTGTAACTTCATTTTAATATCTGAATCGGTTGCAGCAGACTTGAGTTCCTGATCTTGCAACCTAGAAACTCTCTTCTGAAGGGACAGTATCTGTTCTTTGTTCTGCTCTGCTTCAGACCTTAGTTTTTTCTTCAGCAGTTTGATTTTTGATCTGGCAGCATCAAGCTCAGCAACAACTTTCTCATGATCAGCCACTTGAGTTTGCAGTCTTCTGTTATCAGCCTGCAAGGACTCAATTTTCAGAGTAAATAACTTAGCCTCCATGTTGTTTATTTTCAAACGGTTTTGCAACTCCATCACAGCTGTTTCTTGCTCTTTAAGGCCATAAAACTCAAGCATTCGAACCTCAAGGTTCCTTTCCCTCTCTCGAAGCATTCTAACCATGCTCTTCAGATGTCTGATCTCTTGCTCAAAATCGACCTTTTCTGCACACTTGAAGCATCTTGGAGTGTCCACATCTGACCTGGGTGTTTCATCTTTCTTAGGAGATACCCCAGAATTATTGGCAGTAAGGTCAAATTCCTCCATGAGGTCATTGAACTCTTGCCCGAGGTACCCATCTTTATCCGCACTGTGTCTACTGCTTGGAGACAAAACCTTGGAATTATCAACAGCAACCTCGAGCCCGTATGAGTCGTCCTATTGGACAGAAACGATGAAATGTTAGTTCTCAAAAACTAATAATAAAGACATAAAATTACATCCTTTGAAGAGAAATAAACAGGTAAGAGAATTTAGTTTCCAAAAATGACTTGTGACAAATGCAGTACAAGGTACTCTATCAAAAAATCCAAAGTGACAAAGAAATTACCTGCAAATGTCCCTATAATTATGCAGAAAAATAAAAGGAGCAAAGGAAATATTTAGACACCATATTAAACCAGTAATACACATTATTCTGGTGTCCTGATGCAATAAAATCTTTCCATAGCCTAGCAAGCTCATAATTTTCACTAATTTCTTCACCTTTTTCTTCGAGGGAAAGGTGGTGGGTTCTGTTTTTACAGATATATTCACTAAAAGTAAGCGTGTATTTAAGGCAATGAGAAGGGAAAAAAAAAAGTCAATTTTAATAGATAAACTGAGTTTAGAAATGCTTTTACAACAAAATTGTTCCATTAAAAAAAGCAAAGTAAAGCAAAATAAATACTACAAGGTTCACCAATCACCACTCTGCAATCATTTCTTTTTCATAAAAATGATTATCTAACGACCTGAAAAATGTTACCTTTCCATCTTGAATTCACCACTGTCAAACAACTGCTAATTCAAGAATTACTATTAATCGACCCAAATGTATTGAATGTTAGCTAAATAAAACATTATCCTGTGCTATCCAGATTTATGAATGAAACTTACGTATCTTTCTGCTGAAATTGAAGTGACACTGCCAGAACTCGATGTTCTACTCGTCACTTGAAGATCGTCTTTGTGGCAAGCTCTTTCCCCTCCGACATCAATCTGACTGCTATCATCTATGAACAATGAAAATAGACAGAATAGTCAAAACACAGACAGAAATTAAAACAAAACCGATCAGTGGATAAGGAGAGCAAACCAGAAGGGGGTGGGGCGTGAGGAGGCTGGGAAGACTTATTCCTGTTGCTTTTCAAGCGTGCAAGGAGAAATCCAGCAAAAGAGAGCGCTAAAGCCACCCCAAATTTGACTAAAGCAGGCCTTATATCTCTTTTATCTTTTACCATCATAGAAGTCTACTTATGGGATCCACATAAGAAATAGAGAGAGAAAGATCATAGGTCTTCTTCTCCATCATCCTCCATCTACATAGCCAAAACAACCAATATTAGCCAGCCTAATAGTTACATTAATAGACAACAAGAACATAAAAAAATATATATATATATATAAAAAAAAAAAAACAAAGGTTGAAGAACAAGCAAAGCAAAACCTATGGATACAATTAATTATGATTCCAGAAAAACATAGAGAAAGACCATGGCCAACATGGTTCTTACCATACAAAGCCAAGAATCCAGAATAAGCCAAAGCTTACCATTTAATACGTTAGTTTTAATATGGGAGATGGCAAAAAAAGGGAACGAAATGAATGATCGAAGAAGCCAAATTTAAATCAAAGCATGCTAATTTCTTCTAAACAGAAAGCTTGGGAAATTAAACAAATAAGGACCCACACCATGTTAAAGCAACAATCAATGAATAAAACAAAGCGTAGAACTAAAAAGATTTTATCTTACAATTCACATGTTTAACCAGAAAGGTTCAAAGAGATCAAAAGTAAGAAAAAACCCATGTCGATAAGACATAGTGCATACCTAGAAACAGATATCAAAACAAGCCATTTCAAGATAAGACACAAAAACCAAACTGGGAAATTCATTTATATATATATGTCGAGTTTGAGAGAGAGGAAAAGAAGACTAACCATTAAACAGAAGGATTGCAAGGGCATTGATAGTCAAATGTTAATTCAAGAAAAGTAAAGTTATTATTGGTGTCTTTATGATCTGGCATTTTGTCTCTCTCTCAGAGGCTAGAAAAAACTAACCTGGACAAGCAAAATTTATAATTTTGCACCCTATCAATTTTTAAAAATAGAAGGTATTTAATTTAATTAACAATAAAACATATTAGAGTGGCTTGTTGGGTTTCTGTCTTGTCTTGTGTTCTGTTGAAAGGAATATCAAAAAGTTTAGTCAGACAGAGAGGGAGAGAGACTGCCAGATTTGTTTTATCGGCTGAAAGAGAAATTTTGGTCAGAAACTTCAAAGTTTCGGATTCTGACCCCTTTTTCTTTTTTTCTTTTAAATAAGAGTTAAAAAAAAACAGTAAGAAATTTGTATTTGAATTAATGGACGAATTTTTTAATAGTTTTATTCCGATGTTCAGAAAATAAAAGAAATATTTTTTTCAAAAATTTGTTCAAGTTCCTTCTCTTTTAAAAAAAAGTTTTTGTTAGTAAATTAAGAAAATAAATGGCAATAAATTTTTTTTTCGAAACTTTGTTGCTTTTTTTTTTTTTTTTTGGTGCTTTTGTTTTTGTTTTCAAATAATCGGCACCCTAATCAAAGGCTCGTGCTATTTTGGTTTGGAGAAAGTTAGATATGTATAATATAGTATGAGTTGACCGGTCTGATATTTATCTATTACCCGTTTTTTTTTCTGAGTTCTTACTCTTTTTTTTTCCTAGTAATTTTCTGATAAAAATAATCACTCCCCCTTAGCTTTGAAAAAAAGAAAAAAGTTATGCATGATTAATATAGCTAATTTTAAGAGATTGATCTCATGTTTTAAGGAGATTTCCTGTTTCTCTCTTTTTTTTTTTTTTGTCACTTTTTGAATTCAAAATTTTAAAATTTAATATTCACAATGATTTATTTGAATTTATTTAAAAGCAATAAAGGCGGATATGAGTGTTAAAATCTTAAGATTGTTAAAAAGAATTCGATCTCATTTAACTCACAAACTAACCTAAAAATACTCTAAATATATGGAGTGAAAAAAAAAAAAAAAAGATAAGAGGTAGAAAATAGAGGAAATGGCGAATGAGGAAAGGTGTTCAGCTTTGATGGGACTCTAGGACGGCAAGTTAACCACCCAAGTTTTTTAAAAAATCCTTATAACTCCTACATTTAGTATATGCTTTATATTGGTCCTCGTAATTTTTTTTATCATGTGGTCCCTGTAGGATGTCTGCAATAAAATGATATAACGATTCTAGTCGTTTGCTCCAATCATGGATTAAATGATAAGTGATAAAATATATACTAAAATTACATTAAAAATTAACAATAAGGATTAAAATACTTGAAAAAATTAGTTTTACCAATTGTTGTTTAGTTGATTTGATGATTTTTTACAAACAATTTGTTACATGTTTATCGTAATCAATGAATAACCGCCTTAAAAAATAACCATATAAAACAAATAAATATTTATCTTTATCTAATTTGGATATGTGATAATTTTATTATTTTGCCACTTGTTCGAAATATCTCATACTATAATTTATGATTATGTCACTACTAAAGCTCTTTGTATAACTTGCAACTTTTGTTTGCTGATTATTGAAAGATTTTTTAGCTATATTATATAATTGGACATACGAAAAACGAGTAGAGATTCCAAAGATTCTGGAGAACTTGTTTATTTGGTATTTATTTATTTAGTTGGAGGATAATTACATTGCATCACAAAAAGTAATTATATTGACGAGAAACCAAAAAGTTCATGTATTTTTACATATCCTGCCCAATTTTTATTTCTAAAACTTACTTTCTGATGTAATAAATAAGTAAAAGTTAAAAAATTAACTCGTTTATAAGTAAAGTTATTAAATGATTGAATCTAAATACGAATTCGATCCGATTCTAATGTAATAAAATAAAATTAGTAGATAATTATTATGATTTAAATCCAATTATGGTCTGAATTTATTAATTTATTTATCAAATGGATCAAATGTAGATCTATCTCGATCTAGTTTAAGAATTACATATTGGAGATTCGGTTAAGAATTTCATTTATTGGTAGACTTAAACAATAATAATAGGGTAAAGTTGAAGGACAGACTAACACGCTACCTTAATATTTTTTTGGTAGCAGATTGTGCGGTGTGCTGTTGCAACACAAGGAAGCATATACATCGATAATTTATTTTGCAAAATATGTATCAAAGATATGGTGACTTTGCATGCAACGTTCTTGAGAACCATGTAAGGGAACAAATTAAGCCACTTGGTCGCTACTCCACCGAAGAAATATATATAGCAGTTGGTCAAGATTTGAATGCTGATTTGCTGAAGCTGGAAATTGATTTTCTTTTCTACAAAACCCTTGTGAGTAGATTGTGTAATAAATAGTGCGTGAGAAATGGACTGCTGGCAACACGAGTCAACTCACATGCAAATCACCTACCAAAGAGAGAGAGAGAGAAAAAAACAGAGAGAATATAAAAATTCTCTTGAATGTTAATTATGCCACGATGGCAGAATTTTTGGGCATAAGCTAATGGATTCTGGAATATATTTTTAAAATCTCTCTCTCGTAATTAACTAAGGAGAAGACTATCATGCTCTTAACATTTCTTTTAATGATAAATATAATTAGTCGTTGGTCATTGGTGTTAGAAAAGAAATAAAAGACCAAACCGAACACTAGCAGACTGAGGTTTAACGTGACTGTCACAATAAAAATAAGAGATACCACTAAATTATTGGTTCGATAATAAATGAGTTGATTTTTAAATAAATTTTTTATTAATATATAAGATTTAAATTTTGAAGTCGTATTCATTAAAAAGAGTTAATTTTTTTCATTTTCATCACAAATATGATTAACAATATCTCAAATATGAGATGAAAATATATGAATAAAATCTAAAAATAAATATGAGAGGTTAATTTTAACATGTTCTTGAATGAAGCATAAACAAAATTAATATTCCTAATTTTATTACAAATTAAATACCCTACATATTTACCATATAAAGCTACTACAACTTGAATTAAAAGCCTTAAAATAGCGTTTGAGGTCGTAGACTAGCGGTTGAAGGCTTGCCTAATGATCATTCGAGTTCGACTCTCTCCGTGTACGCTCGTCATCCCCGCGATGTCTTACCTGTCTACCGGACTTGCGGGGTATTCGGTGGGTCCAGAGATTAGTCTTAGTGCGCATAGTCGACTCGGACATCCCGAGTTATAAAAAAAAAAACTTAAAATATATATTTATTTATTACGGTGAACGCATCTAATATGTAATAAATGGGTTAATAGCGTGTTAAAGTAATTACTTCTAACACTCACAAAATTATATGGAAATTAGGGAAAGAAACAAAATAATATATTTTTTCCGTTTTGTTCTTTTGAGATATTCAGGCATGCATGTCTCTGTTGCAGCGAAGCTGACGCCCACAAACTAATGAATATGGTCAAAGAAGCTTACACACGTGAGAGAGGAAGAAAAATACTACCCCTGATAACGACAGTTAAAAGAAAAAATCAAGGCGTGTTTTGTCAATAAACTAAGGTACAGGGTCCAAAAAGCCTGGATCTGTAATTATTGCAGATAAAAAAGGATAAAACAAAGAAAAAAATACTACCATCGGTGGCAGTAGAGAAGGAAAAACTCAAGAAACGTTTTATTAAAAAACTAAAGTACATGGTTCAAGAAGGCTGCATATGGGAGCACAAAAATAATATTGACAGTGACATTACAATAAACCATGTTTATCACGTTTGTTAAGAAAAACTAATGTACATGGTTCAGGAAGCCTAAGTATGGGAGATAAAAAAATAATTATTGATTGTTACTTTACAATAGAACATGATTTATCGTAAAGTATTACTGTCCATGACATACCAAATATTATACATAATTTTGTTTAAAAAAAAAGAGAGAGAGAGATTGTACCTGGCTGCTTTGGTCGATACAGATATGTCCTCTAAAACTCTTTTTGTTTTTTTTAGGATTTATCAAGTGGCTCTTCCTCGTTTGTAGCTCATTTTGTGTCTGTCAATTGGTTTTAGTCCGTAAAGATATGTTCTATAATACCTATTCTCATTTGCAATTCATCTTTTAAGTCTGTCAAGTGGTTTGGGCTATAAGATTTTTAGAAGGTCTGTTGGACTTTATATAGAGTTAAATAACCGAGATTAAGTTCCAACTTATAGTGAGTTATAAGAACTAAACAAGCTTACATGCCACGTTTAAAATGGTTAAAAACATACAATGAAAAATTTATTTAAAAATTTATATCTAAAATACAAAAAAGTATTTTGCAAGTAGACATATAGTTGGCACATCCTTTTACGTGATGCACCAATAACGATTTTGTTTTAATCTCCTACTTGATATTTTTTGGACGAGATATGAAGACAATATATTAGTAATTTATATAAAAATTTTCATGAATATCCATTTTCATTCGTATATCTTAATATTAGGATTCGAATCCCAAATCAAATGATAAGAATTGAAATTCTTTTAGATTTCGTAGTTTGGCATATATCACTTTTATTTAATTAGATTGGAGAGATCAATATAATATCAAAGAACGAAAACTATTCTAATTAAGAATACCACCAAGCCAAAAAAAAAATTGAGTCATATTGGTACTAAATCCGTATTTGTCGCCTCTATTCAATGATATTTGCAATTCGTTGATCTCTCTATTTTTTTAAAAAAAATTCCCTTATACAAGTAGAAAAAACCAAAATATGCACAATTGAACACCAAAAGTATGTGGATAAAAGGATATATAAAAACATGTAATTTGAATTTAATGATGGTCTAGTTTGTAGTAGTGTTTTCATCATCCGTATTGATTTGTGGTGTTTTGTTTAAACTCGTTGACATGCCCGAAAATAATACATCAATATTAACAATATGTACCTTGGATATGGGGAATTTTAGATTTCTTTCAAAAATACTTGCATCGGTTAACAAGTAAAACAAAACAAAACTATTTAACCATGACGTTATGTTTATGAGAATAAGAGAAACCAACAATTGGTTTAGCATTTGGAAATGGCCGCATCAAAGCGAGTGTGTCTATCTACTCCTATCAAACTCAAAGGCAATGGCTTGAGAGATTTTGCCCACAAAGTACGTACCTTTCCACCAACCATTTATGGCTCTTAAACTTTAACATTGTTAAGTTTTATATAGTTCGATGGATTGTGATTAGGATTAGTAAGTAGTTAGTATAAGCAATGACATGACAATTAATAGTTAGTGTAATTGTTTATTGCTTAGTCAGCTAATCGTCGTTAGAGTCGATAAATTAGAATCACATATAAAGAGAGAGAAAATAGAAGTCGATTCATTCAAATTCTTTTCTCAATCTTTTATTTTCTTCTCCCTTAACCTTTGTTGATCTAGTTCTTGTGTAAAAGCTCTTAACAAATTGGCATCGAGCTTTTCCGGGGCCAATAAATCATCAATTAAGGTGGATAATAATAGGATGCGAACAATTAAAGAGCAAAAAAGGAAGCATGAAGAACAACTTTAAAACATACGGTAAGAATTTTATGAAAATGTGAAAGCAATCAAGAAGCCAATGGAGGAGCAAACACAATAGATGAAGCTTTAATGACGTCTATCAAGTCATTAATGGTTGATAAGGATCCGGAGAAGGAGCGAGAGGTCATCCTCAAATTTCTCATATGGAGGAAATGTGGCTCTAAAACATGTTCATCACAATAATCAATATGAGTCATTATTAACGTCCGAATTTATGAAATCGAAGTTATAATTTCTCCATTCCTAAAGTAGACTTGCAAATGTTTGGGGAGGGACAAATCCAAGAGGATAGGTTTATGGAAGTAAGAAATTCTTAAAAATGAATTTCATTTCGATGGATGGAAATTACTTTCATATATTTAGAAGGTAAAGCTAAGATCTAGTTTGAAGGATTCATAGTTTGAATTGATCTAAAAAATTAAGAAGAGTTCATTAAGAAGTTGTGTAGAATGTATGGTAGTAGAGAAGATGCGAGTGGAGGAGTTTAATAATCCAATTAACAAAAGTATGTAAAACAATATATGGAGAAATTTAAATATTTAATGACCACAAACAATCTACATTTGTTTGAATCTTACTATGTTTCTACCTTTATTAGTGGACTTAACGAGGATATCATCCTTATGTTGAAGATTTTGAAACCTACAACCTTAACACAAGCTTTCGAACATGTAAAATAGCGAGGAAGAATTTGTGAATGCCATAACCAAAAGCCTAGAAACCTTCCAAATAGCTTTCCACCTATAACATCATAAAACCCTTTTTAACTCAACATCATACTTATAACACAAACAAGTCATATACTAGTCAATTCCATAAACCATATATTATTTTAGCCGAATCGAACCTAAACTTATTAATACCAACCTTCAAAAAACACAATTAGATGGCTCTGTTGAATCGGAAGAGGAGGATAGGATTATGTTTCGAGTGTGAAAAAAAAATACTCTAATAATCATCAATGTGCTAGAATAACATTACATGTAATAGAAGGAATGAAAGAGGAAGGTGATGAAGTTGTGGATTTAGAAGAGAGGAATGGAGCGAGAGGGTGCGATTGATGATAGAAGTCATGAAGAACATGGATTGTCCTTGCATGTGTTTAGATGAGAAGTATGTAAACAATACAATTAAGATAAGGAACGATTGCAACAAAGAAAGAGATTGAAGTCCTAATTGACAATGGCAGTGCTCATAAATTTATAAATTGAAGAATTACAAGGGACGTAAAAAATGAAGTGGAAAAGACTACTCCTTTATTAGTGACGAGTAGCAAATGGTGCTATGATGAAGTGTTTAACCAAAAGTCCAAGGTCGACTTGGTTTATGCGGGGGCATGAATTTAAGACCGATTTGGGAATCCTAAACCCGAGAGGTTGTGATATGGTGTTTGGGGTTGATTGGCTCAAAATTTGCTCTCTAGTTTTGTTCAATTTTATCAACTTGAAACTCTCATCTAAAAAGGATGAAAATGTAATTGAGTTTAAATGGACGAGTAGATAGAGTCAATATGTTATAAGTAACAACGGACAATGTGCATAAGATACTAAAATATGTAAAATATAAATTAGTAGGGTAAGTATTTTATATTACTGCCTATATTGAATTAGAACTAGTTATAAATGGAGAGATTCGAGCATTACTATGATATTTAGAAGTTTTTATGGGATCAAAGATACTGCTACTAGTTAGGAGGTTTGATCACAAAATTTTCTTAATCCTTAGGACTAAACCAGTTAACATTCGACCCTATAGAAGCTCTTGTGTACACAAAAAGAAATTGAGAAGTAGGTTAAAAAGATGCTAAAAAATGGGGTTATCCAACCAAGCTCGCAACCCTTTGCCTCTCTTGTTTCGTTAGTCAAGAATAAGGATAACACTTGAGGGTTTTGTATTGATTATTTGTAGCTTAAAAGCATCACTATCAAAGACAAGTTTCTCATTTCTTTTATTGGTGATCTCGTTGATTAATTACGGGGTTCACACCTTTTCTTCAAAATTGATTTGAGAGCCGGATGTCATCGAGTGAGAATGCATGAGACCGACATTGAGAATACGGCTTTTAGAACTCATTGGGGACACTATGAGTTCAAGGTTATGCCTTTGGTTTGACTAATGCCCCAACAACATTTTAGGCTACAATGAATGTTGTCCCGATGCCATATTTAAGAGATTTGTACTGGTGTTCTTAGATGATATATTGATTTACAGACCTCACTTTGGAGTTGAATATCCAACATGTTGCAAAGGTATTGGAGGTTCTCGGGAGAAATGAACTATTTGTAAAGGTACCGTAGACTAGTAGAGAGTATTTGGGTCATGTTATATCGGGGATTAGAGTGGTAACGGATTAAAAAAAACAAAGGTAGCGAGTAAATGGCCAACTCCACAATCCGTCGGAAAACTTATAAGGTTCTTGAGTTTAGCTAGGTACTATAAAAAGTTTATCCACCATTATGGTTTGAGCGAGTAAACCATTAACCACGTCGTTGAAGAAAAATAACTTCCATTTGAGTGCTCAAGCTTAGCAGGCTTTTAAGCAATTAAAGATCATGTCATGCGAAGATCTAATATTGGCCCTTCCTAATTTTTATAAAACCTTTGTATCGAAGACTAATGCAATTGCTTGTGGGGTGGGAGTAGTACTATCACAAAAGGCAAACCACTAGCTTTCTTCATCAAAGCTTTGTGTCTTAAGCACTTAGAAATGTCTATTTATGAAAAGGATTATTAAATGGATGCACTATTTGGAAGATGACAAGTTCATCATTAAGACCGATCATGAGAAGTCGAAGTATCTTTTGAAACAAAAGATACACGCTCCAATCCAATGAAAAGGGCTTACCAAGTTGCTTAGGTCGACTTATAAGATTCGATATAGGAAGGTTAAAAGGAATTTGATGGTCGATGGACTATCTAGGAGATTTCATAAGTCTTGTGAAATCTCTAAGGGAATGAAATAAGGCACCTTGAGTGCCATTACTATCGTGAAACTCGTTTGGCATCATGACATTCGGATTCTTATGCTTAAGACACCAAAGCCTAGTAGATCATTGCTGCAAAAAACTTGCGCGATGATGCCTTTCCTCAACTTTCTTATGAAAAAGGCATATTAAGATACAAGAACAAAACCTGCATTGTGAATAACCATACACTCAAGAGGCAGTTATTGTCGATACATTTAATCTAAAACGAGATATTAGATACAAGACAATAAATACATTAAATTAAATTATTATTATTATTATCTTTATAAACCTCGATTGAGTTTTATCATAGCATGAAATATGACCACAAACCAGATTTCTCAACCAAATGAGCCAGTTTTCCAAAAATAAAAGCATTTGTTACCGGAAATCTCAACAATTGTTATTGAATTTCTATGCAATTTTTCAAAAAAATAGTCATTTTGGAAAACTGAATTTATGATAACGTGTTCTCTAGTCCGAATTGCTAAAAGAAACCAGAAAGAGGGACCAAACTTAACCCTGTCCATTTCAGTCTTCACCACTGGTTCGAATCTTCTCTCTCTGCTGTTTCGAACTTGGCGGGTTTCCCATTTTATTGAATCCTCAAAAACCCTAAACCCTAACCAACTCCTGCATGAATAAGACTTTTCACTTTCTTTATCTCTGATGCAAATCACAGAAATGAAAACACTAAGATCATTCTACACTCACAAAAGCCTCTTCCTCTTAAGACCCATCACCAAAAACCCTATTTCTCTATCCCGCCATTTTCACTCCACCACCTCCCCTTACCTTTCTAAAGACTCTGGTCTCGCTGTCCATTTTTCCAGGAACGACCCTCATTCCACTGACACTTCCAAAAATGCCCCCCGAGTTTGGAGTGTTTTCGATCCAATCTCTGGTGGGACAGTGGCTCAGAGTGACGCCAGCACTAGTGCTGAGAATGATGAATCGAAGCTCAGGTCCAGTTTTAATGAGGAAGTGGAGGGTGTAGCTGGTGAGAGGACTCCGAAGAACGAAAATTTTAGCAAAAGAGAGAAAACCCAGATGGGATTGTCGAGTAATAGCAATGAAACAGAGGATTTGAAGAAGGAAGAGAGATATGGGGGTGTGAAGAAGGGGGTTTCAGTTAATGAGGCGGTGGGTTCTGGGGATAGAGCGGTATATAGGAAGAAGGGGAAAAGTAAAATTAGTTGGGTTTGCGAGAGTTGTGGGTTTACATCTGGCCAATGGTGGGGATCTTGCCGAGCGTGCAATGAAGTAGGGACGATGAAGCAGTTTTTGGAGGCGAAACTTGGGAGTGGGAATAAGGTAAGTGGGATTGAGGCTTCGGAAAATGCAGTGCGGTCTTGGTTGCCTCAGAAACCTGAGGAGTTGCGTCCTTTGAGGCTGACGGATGTGAATCGGGGGATGAATCAGTTGAATTGGCGAATTCCCTTGTAAGTTGTTATTTTTTCAGTTTTGGGATTTATTTCGTGTTTTGTTGTTTTGACAACTGAAAATACCAGTAGAATATGTGATGCATCTTTCTTTTTTTGTAGCTAATGTAATAAATAACAGGATTAACCAGATTAAGTGCTTATATCAGTTGATTTTGGTGAGAAGTTAAAGAAACAGGGGGTGAAATGTCAAATGTGAAATGCTATGATGGTATGGCAGCGGGGGCAGTGGGGGACAGTGGCTATGGTTGTGGGGACTGCGGTGATTGATGTTGGTGGAATGGTGGGTGGCGATGGTAGCACCGTGAACCGTTTAACTCCACCAAATGGAATTTTTAAACGCTTATGTATCCTGCTAAATAACATAGTCTGTTTTTTAGAGGAAACATAAGGTCACAGCCAGTTAGCCTTAGTGAGCCTAGGTTTTTGTTTTATTGAACTTGGATTGTGTGTTTTTCTGTATAGTTTTATTATGTCTGCTACATTGGCGCCCAATTGCCTTTGTATGTAGCTGTTTCGGTGTATGTTGTAATGGTTGTAACGCTAACATGTGGAATCTGGTGATTAAAAATTCAATGAAGGTCTGGAATTGTTGTGAAGTATGAAGGATACAGTAGGAATACAATTTTTAATGAAGAGAAACAACTGTTTATGTTTGAGTGATAACATCAGTGGATTGCCTGGAGAATCCTCGTCACCTAAGTTTTTATCATCTTCAAAATGCGTTGTCTGGTTATCTCCTCTGGACCATTTGTGGCCAACACTTGCAGCCAACTTCCCCTCATTGAATATGTGGAACAGTTTCCACGCTTATCATAACTGGTACCACCATGATTGCAGCCATGCTCTTTTTGTTGTGGAATGGTAGAGAATTTCTATAGCTTTTAGGCGTTTGCTCATAAAATGTAGTTTACTTTTCTATTGTACCAACTGTTTTGGATTAGATATTGCAGAATTTATGATGTTTCATGATATTGGTTGATTGAGTTCATAATTATCTTTGCTTTTGGGAATCTGTATTGATAATTTTTTTTGGTTGTGATCCAGGTCTGGGCTTTTTGGAAGTGAAGTTGCAAGGGTGCTTGGGGGTGGTCTTGTTCCAGGTTTCATCAGATTTACTAAATAATATTTTTGATTAATACTTGTTTTGGGGTAAAAAGTTTAGAGGCCATTGCTTGGTGATGGGCCATGGGCTTGCAACCACAATAAAGCAAGTTTGAGTTTTGAGGGCAGCCACTTTGTGAGGAAATATTGAAAAGTCGGACTGTCTCTAAATTTTCTTTACTGAAAACTCCATTTTCTTTAGAACATAACCAGGTATAGCGTTTAGCTTTTGGAAATATTGCTTTGTTTCCTGACCTTTTGGCTTGCTGAATTTTATCAGCTGGAAGTTTTTATGAGCAACGGAGCACATGATAGAAATCCATAGGCTTTATCTCCTGCTATCTTTAGATTTTACCATGCAATGAAAACGATAATGCAGAAATTCCAAACTGAGTACAATATCATAGTCATTAAAAACTCCAGTTTTTTACTACTTTTAACTTTTAGGTCCTATGATTCATTTGTATTGATGAATTATAAGAGAGCTTTGGTGGTTCACCCTGTTGAAATGGCGGGATGTCAGTATCTTCAGATTTGATAAAATTTCCATTGCATATGCCCAGAAGTTTATGCTGTTTCCATTAAACATTAGTGGGACCGCAAGTCTGCTTTACTCCTTAATATAACTCTCGTCCATCTAGCTGACATGGACCTGCTTCTGTCAATGTTAATCACAATGTACTAGATTGGAATCACTTTTAGATCATTTGAATCTTCAGCACTATGTTGTGTCTGGCAAAAATGCCTATGCCCATCTATCTAATCCGGCATACCGATGTTTCTCTGTATTTATCTACTTCTTTCATGTCTTTAGCGAAGTCTTTTCAAAATGTGTGTTGTTGATACTGAAGTCATTCTTCTCTAAGAAGTGGACTCGAAGCTTACTTTGGTTATATGTCCTTTGCATTCGAAGGTTCTTTGGTTTTGGTTGGTGGCGATCCTGGGGTTGGCAAGAGTACACTTTTATTGCAGGTAAGTCTCTTGTGGTAGTTTTGATCTTATACGCTTTTACTTTGTCAGAATATGTTGCTTTTATTTATTTTTATGTGGACCATAATTTTTGTTTCCCTATGATTTCATTTTATTCAAAATAATCCCCCCTTGTATTAAATGTTCTATTCTGATGTCAACTCTTTTGAATTGGAAGGTTGCTGCAATAATAGCCGATGGTGAGGATCTTGGTGGATCAGCTCCAGTTGTATATGTCTCTGGTGAAGAGGTTAGTGTTTCCTGTAGACAAATATCACATGTTTCATGCTTTCTCACTGTGCCTCGTGGCCCGCCCACGAGAAAGTTACTAGGCAGAAAATGACAGCAATTTTACAGGGTTTTAATGATGTTTTTTTAATAATATTTTTTTTAGAAAGGAAACCTAAGTTTTTACTCTGAATTTAGAATGAGGAATTTTTTTAAGGATCAACCATACTTAGATAGGAATAGTTTGGGAGGCTTTGAAATTGGTACTCAAGCTATCCTACTCATGTTTTGCTTCCAGAAGGCTACAGTTGGGATGCTATTCTGAGATAAAATTTGACATTGATTTCGTAGTATAAGTATTGGTTTTATTATCAACAAGCAAATACCATTTCAAGTTTATCTTCATTGTGGCAGAGTGTCGAGCAAATTGGAAACAGAGCAGACCGTATGGAGATTGGAACTGAGGAGCTTTACTTATATTCCAGTACTGATATTGAGGTGAAAATTTTTGGACTCATCCTAACTGGTTTTGTTGGTAATAGTTTATATTTGAAACATCCGTTTTCTTCAGTAACTTTGTCAGTGTTTTTTTATTATACTCTTTGAGGCTGATCACGAATGAGCATTCTACTCAATCACCAAGTTCTGAGATACTGTTGTACGAAACTTCTCATAATTAGTTTTTTGGCCCTTTTTCAGGATATACTTGGGAAAATTCAGCGTCTCTCCCCCGTGCTCTGATTATTGATTCGATTCAAACAGTTTATCTAAAAGGAGTTGCTGGAAGTGCTGGAGGACTGTCACAGGTTGGAACTTTATGCACTATAGGCTACTAAGCTAACCACATTTTAGCTTAACATATTCAACTCTTATGGGATGCTTCAGTGCAAGAAGATATGGTGCTAGGCAATGTATTTTGACCCAAAGTTATATAAATCACCTCATTTGCTATGAGCCTCTGTTTCACACTCCAAATGCATCTGCTTTTCCTAAAGTTACTGTCTTGTGGGCCATCCAGAGAACTCGCACATGAAAGACAGCACCTTTTGTCCACCTATCTTCATTCTGTGAGCACAAGTAGTGCAAACATATTGGAATAATGTTATCACAAAGCAGTGTGTAAATTTTGGTGGTCCTTTTTCTATATTCCTTTCTTTCTGAAGCAAAAATGCACATATCCGTGTGCTGATGTAAGCACATTTATCTGGTGGTTTCAGGAGAGAGTTGCTGATTGCTATTTCTGTGTGGATATGTGACAGGTTAAGGAATGCACATCAGCCTTGTTGCGTTTTGCAAAAACAACTAACATCCCAATTCTTTTGGTGAGTATACTGTGCATTGACCTAACAATTACTAATCTAGTTTCTTTTAATGTCTTTGAATTTGTAATTCAATTGTAATTTTGAGATTACCAAAAAATTAGGTTCTGTATGCTTTCACAGTGATTTGTCAAAAAAAAAAAAACAAATTGTGATTTGATTGGCGTTTTGAATTAATATGAATCCATTTACTTTGTTGCTCTCCTCTGTGTTGATTTCTCTTCATTGGAGCAGATAAATTGATTCTTTTCTTTAATTATTGTTTCTAAAGAGTAGTAGTTCATTGAAAAGCATAAAGGAGATCGCACCAAATACACATGTATACATACAAGACTGATCCTTCTTAGACTGACAAATAAGAGCAGAGAGAAGGAAAAAAAAAAACAAAAAACAAAAATCAAATCAAAACTAAAATTTGGAAATTATGGAGACTAGTAAATAATATCGTGCATGAGGTGCTGGGGTGTAGCTGAGACAACAGTTATGCTTTTAATTTTTGCTCGATCGTTCTGGATTTTGGTTTCTTTTGTGAATGAACTTTCTTTGGGGACTACTAGGGAGAAGCACTAATAGATAGGGATGATTTGTTCACTAGGCTGCGGTCTAGTGTTTAAAAATCACTTTGGTATGGTAATGCGTGATGATGGAGAATACACAAGGAACTACATGATCCCAAATAAATGTGTATGGTATATGCTCGTGAATTTTCAGCTCATTATGTCATTATTAGGTTGGTTGATTTTGCTTTTGTTCTTTTGATACAATCTCTTTGTTAGTGATGGAAGTAAGCAAATACTCTGTGGCCTCTGTCTCTTGGTCTCTCTCTGTAGGAGTGGCAATGCTGTCTTTTATACCCTAGTTTTGCCAAGTCGTCAACTTGAAAGTCTCATTGCCATTTTTCCTTATTTTCTATTGATTAGGTTTACTTTATAGTATCACTTTGGTAAAGGGGCTAGATTTGATTTTTTGCTTGTCCTTAATTGTTTATTTTTGCTTGTGTTTTGCTTATTCTTATCCAGTATCAGACTTGTACATCTGTCAATCTGTAGGTTTCTCTATGATTATTAACATGCTATACTGTTAAATGTCATAACTTGCATGCAAATGATCTTTTCTGCTTTTGCCTCTTCTTTATTTTTCCTTTGTTTTCCTTTTATAATGTTTTGCAGATTGGACATGTGAATAAAGCTGGAGATATCGCAGGGCCTCGTGTATTGGAGCACATTGTTGATGTTGTCTTATATATGGAAGTTGGTACCTTCTTAAATTTTCTTTTTGGATAGTTGTTAAGTTAGTACTTAGTTATATTGTAGAGTGCAGACTACTTTTTTTACCGTAACTATTAGGCATTCTTTATCTGTTTAAAGGATGCCTCTCAGCTTAAACATTTCTTTAGAGAAACTTCAACTGCTAGTTTTCCAACCTAGACTTTAACCCATTACTTTGGTGGGATTTCAAAAGCATTTTTCTCTTGTACTTGGAATGTGAAGATTGCTAATCAGTGACATGTCATGCTAACTACCAGGGGGAGAAGTACTCATCTCATCGCTTGCTTCGACCTGTGAAGAATCGTTTTGGGTCCACAGATGAGGTGTGCAATTCTAGTGATCTACAACTTTGTGCTTATTTGTAGCACACATCCATTTCATCTGGACATCCCGGTATTTAACCCTTTTTTTTTTTTTTTAATCTCCAATTTGGAATTTGTCTAAAATTTTTATCATTACAATTTTAATTTGTCACTCAATACATAATAGCTGGGTCCTATATCCTCTTATGGATCGCTGTCCTACCAACTTCTGGCTTGCTTTGGAAAGAAAATTTTGAATTGATTTTGAACTTTCCTGCACTAAAGTTTCTATATTTTATTTTAAAATTTGAAATTTTCATGTTTGAATAAGCTTTAGTAAGCTACTGAAGAAACCCTATCCCATCTAGTGATTCACCTTTTTAATGGATTTTCAATACTTTTCTGTAGATTACTGCTTAATCCAAATTGGTGTTTGATTCTAATTTTCTGGCACTGTGTTTAGATTACTTCACTGCACCTTGGCTCAAGCAGTTGCATATGTTGTTTATAACATGTACTGTCTCAGAACAGTTGCAAATTTCTGTTTTCCAGAAATCTTTGTTGGAGGAATTTTGCTGGAAATAATGTAAAGGATGAATGTGAACTTTCTCCTTGATGTTTATAATGATTTAGATGCAAGTTTCTCATTTCTGAACTGATGTAAGAATTATCCCTTGCTGTCAGCTAGGAGTTTTTGAAATGTCACAGTTGGGTCTGGCAGTTGTTTCCAATCCAAGTGAGATATTCTTAACGGAGCAGCACTCAGATTCAGAGTTTTTAGCTGGGCTAGCTGTTGCTGTAATAATGGATGGATCTCGAAGTTTCCTGATTGAAATTCAGGTAATCTTTATAGTTACCTTTTATACTTCCTACTTTTTTAAAATTTCACCTATGCAGTGGACACACCTTTATTTTGAGGACGAGAAGTCCAATGATGATTTTACTTGGGATTCCTTTCTTTTAGTTTTGTTTTTTTGCTTATTTTCACCTTATGCATTCAATTGATAGTCCATTAAAACTTTTATTCAGGCACTGTGTGTCTCTGGTTCATCAATTTCAAGGCACATTAATGGAATCCAACCAAGCCGAGCTGATATGATCATATCAGTAAGTAATCTAAGGTTTTATTAAGATTTCATGTGCATGCCAGAACTGCAGTGTGGTTACACCTTTTCATTTCTGTTTTTCTGGTTTAGTGATTGCTTGTTTTCATAGTCATCTCTCTTTTATGTCATTGTCTTAATGAACTTATCTTTGAAAATTGGCAATAATTTTGAACTTGTTCGTATGAAGTAACGCATGCCAGAAACCAATGTCATGATCTCGAGGGGCGGGACAATGACATCCCTTGGATAGATGGTAATCCTTGAGAACGTAGGCGTGATATTGTGAACTGGGTTAAGACCTTGAAATCAAGAATCACTATTTGGTGAGCACTCTTCTTGGTCAACCTTCGAGGAATACATACAACCACAAGGTCGCCTAGGATAAAGTTCAAACTCAAACCTAATTTGGCTGGAGGTAAACCAGTTCTCAGCCACTGCAAGTGGCCTGACTGAATGGGATTACGTAGGAAGTTGCATGTAATTCCCACTGAGGAATTGGATTTTGGCCCTTCTGTTATGCTATAGGGTCTATACGATTTGGGCATTGGCATATCCAATGGAGGCAATCGCTATTAGGTTATGGACATCATGGCCATTACACGATTGCACTGTGAACAGAAATCTCTGTTGTTCTTTAAATACTTTACAGCTACAACACGTTTTGACTCCAATTAAGAACCATGGTGGTAGGCACCCTTTCCTCGTTTCTTTTTGGGTATGAAATGAAAATGAAGTCTGCACTCCCTAACTTAAGTAATCACTACCATGAATTTGTCTAATGAGCTTGGAAAAGTCTTTTGGTTGAGAAGAAAGGAATGTTTCGTTAACTTGACTTATTCATTTGAATTTTGGAAGTTTTGGGGAGTTATCAGTTGGAATTACCCAAGTTTTCATGTTTAGGGATGCAAATTGAAACAAGAGATGTTATTTACAATCTTCATGTGTTCACGCATTTGCATGCACACCCACACAAACACATTTTCCACCTTTCTTTGCTGCCAAACTAGATGTAAAGCAAAGCCAATGTGAAGTAGCCACTGAATCTCTGAAGTGACAACCTATTTTAGCTTCAATTTAAATATTTCACATTGAGAAGTTGGCAAGCATTAATTTTTAACTATTTTCACATGTCTCTGATTCTAGGTTCTGATAAAGCAAGCTGGTTTAATGCTCCAAGAGAATGTAAGTTGATTTTTTGTGTTCCTTTTCTGAGTTTGTGGTCATTTTCATAAAAACAGTTTCGACATTTATGACCTACCCAAGGATTTACCATTATGGCCAATCCAAAAAAACATGTCTTTTTAAAGTTTTGTATTTGAATATCCTGCTTTTTATTTCCATTGAACTCTAGACTTAGCCGGGTTTATGTGAAATATGAAAAAAAAAAAAAATGAAAAACTTTAATTTGAACTTATGCAATATCAGTCAAATGACTTTTAACATGCAGAAATCTGTATATGAACTAAATAAGACGCATTTTCTGAATTTTACTAGCTTTTATTTATTTTCTCTTTTCTTAAGGACTGTAAGCAGCCACACCATGTTTCTTTTGTACCTTACAAGTGAGCTTATGACTGAATGCCTTTGCACAGCTCTAGGATTTCCTTGTTTTGTTTTTCATGCTTTAGATATGATTAAAATATTCTTTTTGTTCAAGTAACTGGATTCCTTTTAAAATTATTCTAGTTTAAAATCATTGTGGTTTTTGTTTAACTCTCATTTGTTTTTGTTCTTCTGTTTCTTTTTTCTGCACTAGGCCATCTTTTTGAATGTTGTTAGCGGGTTATCACTGACAGAGACTGCTGGTGATGTTGCGATAGCAGCTGCAATTTGCAGCAGGTGTGTGTTCTGTTGTCTAGTTCTCTCTTTTCCTTCATGCTCTTTTAACTGATCAGGTAAATTTTTTTATTCGGAAATGCTCTACATCACATCTACCCTTACCTTCATGATAAATATAACTATGGTATTGTGAATTTGGTTGGTGCAACCTGTGACCTTTAGTTTGCATTTGTTCAAATTGCTCCTGCACTCTTGGGTAATTTGCCCCGTCTCTGGTACCTTAGATGTTGATACTGGAAGCAAAGTTGAAATGTGATCAATCAGTGTTTTTTCTCATTTCAGTTTCTTGGAATTTCCCATTCCCAATAACATTGCATTCATTGGAGAAATTGGCCTTGGTGGTGAGCTTCGCACGGTAAGTACATGTTTTCTCTTTAACAACCCAGAAGCAGTGTCAAAATCAATTATTTTATTTTATTTTCTCTGTATTTCAAAAAGTTCTGTTTAAACCTCTTTGATACCTTTTTCGTCTTTCAAGTCTCATGCACATGAAATAGCATCATATGTTATAACTGCATTTCTCTTTTCCTCTTAGTTCTTAAAAGACATGTCTCAGAAAATGGATCCAACTGGCATTTCTGCATTTCCCTTTTCCTCTTTGTTCTTACGAGACTTGTGTCAGAAAATGGATTCAACTGGTCCAGGCAGGTTATTGCTGTTTTTTGTTTTAAATACTATGTTTGATGCTGTGTTGACTTGTAGAGTTGCAACTTAATGTGGTTTGAAACCTTCTCGGTATGGACTTACTTGATATTTTTATTGTCATAGTTTTTAAGAGCTGAATCAGCATTTTAGAACCAGCCAGCAAGCCTAGCACTGCTTAAACATGTTTAGGCTTGAGAAGCATGATCATCAACTTTCAAAGCTTTGCCAAGCTGATGTTGTTTGCATATTATGCTGCTAACTCAAAGCACAAATTGCTTACGGAAGCAATTACTTTATTGAGAACCTGCTCTTAGCAGTTTTTTGTAACATTCTATGTAGATAATCACACGAAATTTGCTAAGTTTAGTGCTTTAACATGTTCCTTGAAAGTTGAAACATCTGTATAGTTTAACTGTTTCTTGGTGGAGCTAGAGAGTATCCTGTTGAATGTTCCTTTTTTAATATATATATTATTGTCACAAATTTCAGGTACCCAGGATGGAGAAAAGAGTACATACTATTGCAAAACTGGGATATAAAATGTGCATAGTCCCAAAATCAGCTGAAAAATCTCTTGCAAATCTAGGTTTTGAAGAAATGAAAATCTTTGGGTGCAAGAATCTGAAAGAAGTCATCAACACTGTATTCAAGGCATGATCAAATGAAATTGGAAATCCTTCTGCCATTCTTTGCACACTGGGCCAGTGGAGACATGTAATGCTTTGTACGTATTGTATTTCTTTATTTTAGGCCTCAGAAACGAAAATAGAAATCTGTAGATCTATGTTAAAATGTTAATGAAATTGATATGGTTGGGTTCTCTGATCAATTTCTTCCTAGCGAATCAATCTTTCATGGTGTTTTATCTATGGTCCATCCAAGAAACGCAGAATGGCATTTCCCGCAGAAGCCAACAGATTTATGATTTGTGAGTAGGCCAGTGGTTCTATGCATTCAAGAGAGATTCACTTCACTTCCAGAACATCCAAATTTTTTTATATGTGAAAACCCTGAAGTCTTTGTGTATAATTTAGAGTGGCACTCTGTTCGGTCTCCTCTCTTCCCTCGTATAACAAAAGCTATTAGCACCAGCTGAATGGTTGCTAGTTGCAACTTAATATCTGATATGTTAGCATCACTCAACATCTGATGCAAATTCAATTGCTTCGAAGGCAATGGTACTTGATAATTTCTGCAACGCCTGACTGGTGCTATCTTCTAGATAGGCTCCACCTTATTTAATTTGAAGCAGTTTGAAAATGGTTTTTGTTGATTCTTTCTTAAGGATGATATTTATCTCATTTCATTGGAGTGGCATGAATTGGATGTTTTTATTTATCCTCTCATCTTGACGGTTCTAGCTAGGACCTGGTAGGCTGTACATTTACCCATCACAAAAATGATATCATTATTCTATTGTCAATGTTTGATCACAGACCCAGCTGGTTTCACAACCTCCATGATTTGTACCAGAGCATATGAACAGGAAAGATAAATTCTTAGATCTGCTCTCCTGTCCTGATCATTAGGGTGAATGGTGATAAGAGATGCACTTTGGAACTGATTTACATAGCTTCTTTTGAAAATACCGTAAGAGGAAAAAGCTCAAATATCACTATATTTTAGATCACAACCTTAGGAGGAACCACATAAATGGCTCAGTTTATAGGGGGGAAAAGGACCCAAGACGACTTAGTGCTGGAAACAAAAGGCAAGAGCTCGGTAGTCCTACTAGTATGCCCATTTCGCGTGTATTTCTAATCTCTTGATTGAGCTGTCAAGGGCTCAATATGATTTGCCCCACTCTCATTTAGTTCTGGGGTTTCTGGTTCTTCCTCTCTCTTGTCTCCAGTGACATCTTTATGGTCCAAGAAGCTTGGTTGATTTGTAGACGATAGAAGCCTTGCCCACATCCTATCTGTGATCACAACTTTATGCTGCCTCTCGATTACCCGCTGCATCATGCACGTATGGATTAATTCAAGTGAAGAACTAATGCTCGTGTTAAAAAAGTGTGAAAAGAACGTAAACTCGGATGCCACTAGTCCACTGGCGATGCTCTGGTTATCAGGGATCAGTCCCATATTCACATATGCAAATTTGAATAGAAAACGTAATTAGAAGATCGGCAATGTCATCACACTGACACTAATAGAGGAGCTGAGTAAGCTTGATATATTCTGATCGCTTGTAAAGGTCGTAACAGCAACAAATGGGGCAGATACAGAAATGCAGAATCCCATTTAAGATGAAATTTAGTAAGCAGGAATGCATCAGGAAAGGGAGAGCGAATCCCTGATCAACTCTAAACTAGACATGCCTTAAAAAACATGGCAAGGAAAATGGATGAAATTTGTTTCTGGCTAAGAGGCACTTACATAAAACGGTATGTAAGCATGTCTTCCATTAACAGGGCCAACAGTGAACCCTGTATATCCTGCCATTGCACCATGAATGGCACTGTGAGCTAGTAAAGTGCAGTACACATTATCTGATGCATTGCTCCGAACCGCACGGATCATGTAAGTGGGATCTGTCATACACCATTCTTGGTTATGCTGACTGTTTCAAAATGGCTGTTTGCAATTCAACAATGTTGGAATAGATATGAAGGAAAATTTTAGCTGATTAACCTATGTATTTGAGATTTATTGTCATCTTTTTCTGACTTGCAAAGTGATCCTGCAAAAAGAAAGCTATCAAATGACGTGACAAAAATCTTCTTGACCAAAAATGACAACTTCTTCTTGATTAGAAAGGAAAGATCCTAGTACAAAAATTTTTATGTCCAAATAAAGTTACAGTTACTACAGCTTCGTAGTCTATGCTGATGTTCATACAGATTCTTTCTTTCTTTTTTTAATCAAAGTTGAACAGATTATTTTAATGCTACGGTAGCAGTTTAAAAATTTGGGATACTTTGTCTTCTCTAATTAGCATTTTAAATCATGATTGTCATATGAAGCTTTAATTTTTTTAAGCGAGTCTGATTTCTTGCAGATCACTTGGAGATCATTGAGAATATTTGATGTAGAGAATAGTTTAAAGACTTGATTTTACCCCAATTCCTACTAAACCAACCCTATGGATCCCTAATTTCATCCATATCAAACCATAACCTAATGCCTAGTCAAACCACCAAAACTTGAGAAGGGAAGCAAATTAGGAAACCATTTGCAAAGCCTAAGATGAAGTTAATATCTATAAATGATGGATTTTTGAAAATGCAAGCATAAAGCAGCCAAGGACAGGAATGGTTAAGGAGAGCATCATCTCTAAAGCTGGAGAAAGATAGTTAACGCAGAGCATCGGTATACCTTAATCTTCTGAGATAACCACAGACCAACATCTTGGAGTAACTTGTTTCCTGAAGCATCCTGTTGGTTCATGGAACGTATGCTTTCAGTAAGAAGCTCCTGTCCTGCGCCTTCGGCCATTACTATAACCATATGTCCATTCTCTTTTAGCCTTTTCTTAATGTATTCAAATAGTCCTCCAGGCCCCTCGAGATAGAAGGGTGATTCTGGAATCAAGCAACAGTCCACATCTCTGCTGGCAAGAGTGGCATACATCGCTATAAACCCTGTTTTTGAAATTTAAGTTCAATTCAGATACCAAAAACTAGATAAATTAGAAATGCATTCTATTATTAGCATGCATAATTAAATCAAGGGTTTTGCTGGTGGTTATATGATTAAAAGAGGAAAAAGAAAAAAAGGCAAATAACAGTGTATGATGCTTTACCACTGTAGCGTCCCATTAGTTTGACAACACCGATTCCATTCTCAATGCTCTCTGCTTCAACATGGGCTGCATTAATAGCTCGCTGAGCCTCCTCAACAGCAGTGTCAAAACCAAAGGACTTGTCTATAACCTGATTTAGAAAATGACTTAAGCAGTTCAGATAAAATCTTAAGTTTGACAGTTTAGCAATATCAGTAAGTGGGTTGAGTAATGCCATATTCTAGAAGTTCTGCAGAAAAGAATGATACCGTAATGTCATTATCAATGGTCTTTGGAATTCCAACAACAGCAACTTTGAGGCCGCGTCTTCTAAGTTCCTGCTTAGAATCATGTTGTGTGAAAAAACAACTGTAATGCTAAAACAATTTCTGTGATGTTCTAACCATTCCTGACAATCGATAAATGCTGCTCCTAATGTATTGAATCCTTCAAAATTATTTCAAAACATCCTTTTGCTAGCCCGCAGACTGGAATTACCTCGAAAATCACAGAAGCCCCTTTCTGAGTTCCATCTCCTCCAATAATGTAAACCTGAGATGTATTTACAAGTTATCATATTCTTATCATAGGAATTACTTGAAACGGCAGAAGCAACTATACATGCACATCATGATGTAAAATACAGAAGGAAGAAAACATTTACCTGATTAATGCCTCGGTCTTGAATGCTGTCAACAATCTTTGACTTATCATGGCCACCTCGTGATGTCCCAAGAATGGTGCCACCACGTTTATGGATATCATTCACAACCTTCGGTGTCAAAGGAATTGTATTTCGAGCATAAAAACCCCTGTATCCTCCCTGCATACAAAAACTTATGTCTTAAACACTCAATATTCCTGAATTGCACTATTCTATAACTGTTTCGATCTGAATTCACCTGATGTGACAATATTAAATGACACGAACAAACAAAAATTTCAAGCAACCAAAACAATAGATTAAAAATATGATCAATGCATATGCTGACCTCTATCCCAAGTACTCTGTTGACACCGTACATGTAATATAAGCCGCAAACTAGTTCCCTGATGACAGTGTTTAAACCAGGGCATAGACCACCACATGTTACAATACATGCGTGCACTTCATCCGATTCAAAATACACCTGAGAAACAACATTCAATAAAATACAATATAAATGCAAATGCAAGAAATTAGGGACACGCAGAAAAATAAAATTCAAACCTTTTGACGAGGTCCTGCACGTCTAAAGTGCGTACCTCTTGGACTGTCCTTATGCACAACAATCTGAATGCATTCAACATAAAAAACCCAAATCAGAATTGTTTCAGTTGGTTTATAATCACAATGTACAAGTAAATTATTTAGACAATGAACGGAAAGCAGATAAATTTTTAGCAATACTAATTTGAAGAGAATTTGAAAATATACACTTCAATGATGATAATTTACCTTTTGGGCTACTGTATCATCCATGTTAACGAAATACTGCCTGGTAAAACAGAAGGTTGTTTAATGGTTAATCAAGTTTTCTTTAAAAAAGTACGCAATATGCAAGCACATAACTGAGGCAAATCTAAGTTTTTTTTTGAAAAATAAACTTACTTGACAACTGAATATGAAGGATTAACTTGCAGTGGATTGGGATATGTCTGCATTATACCATTAAAAAATGAAGACCGCAGATGTCAATTGATCAGATTTTTAAGAAAGACAGTTAGGCTCTTCCAGAAATTACTCTTCAAGTCAAACCAAATCTGTTCATAAAGAATTGATTTTGACAAGCAATCTTAAGCTACGCATGCACTCAATTAGCAACGTTACTGGTTCACTTATTCACTCTTTTTTAAAAATAAATATAAAAATTTTATTAAACAACAAAACTTCATCTCCAGGAACACAATAAATCAAAGTTTGTTTCAGTTCATTAAACATCAAAAACAGCAAAAACATATTTTGAGAAAGGAAAATTAGAGAGAGGAATCAGATGGTATATGATCAGGGATACGTACGGGGAGGTGAGGGAGGTAATCGGTGAAGTGAGGAACATCTTCAAGGACATAGCCCAATTCACCGGTTACAATTTTGGGTTCCAGTTTTGCTGAAATTGCCATAGTGCTGCCACTGTCCCCGTCCCTGCTGGGAGTACTGCAGTCAGAACTTGAAGGCAAGCTGGGGGTGGTTACAAAGTAAGCACGGTTACGAATGTGATGGGCGGTAGCGTGATAAGAGTTTGTAGGGTCGAAGCACTTGAACCGGGGAGTTGAAACTGAAGCAGAGCTGGAGATGCTGTTCTCCATTTTTTTTTCCCTTTTATAGTATCAATTTGCTCTTCCTTAGCGTGGGGCGCAAGGGACCGGAACGTATTAATTTGTAGCCGTTGATTTCGAGTTATCGGACGGTAGAGAGTATATAAGATTTTTTTGCAATGAATATGTGGTGTATAAATCACCGATAAAAAGGAAAAGGAAAGATAGAATGAATGAGTGAATGGTGGCAATTCATGAAAAAGGGAATGGTACCGGAAGCAAATGGAAGCACGAGGGGTCTTTGCGACTCGTTTGGGGTTTTATAAATTCTTCCAGGCTTGATGGACGTGCCACGCCAATTGAGGAATTCTTTATTTATAAGCAATGTTTTGTTCGCAAGATTTATCAACCGCGTTAATTTCAGCCAAGAGTTTGATTTATCACGACATGCAATTTTATTTTATTTTTAATTCATCAATATGAGTATTATCGAATCAATTTCATCTTTAGATCATATAGTCTTTAAATTTTTTTATTAGAAATATTTTACTTTCTTTTTAAATTTGATTGAGGCATTTTATTCTTCGAAATTTCTTTTTCAAAACTTCTGTCATAATATCATTAATTAGTAATCGACATGCTATCTCTATTTTTTAAAATTTTTTATTATACAATACCACATGTCAATTACTATTAATAATGTTACAGCCAAGGATCTCCAATAAAAGAATTTAAAGAATAAATAATTTTATTCAAATTAAAAAAAATAATAAAAAATTTCAATTAAAAAATATAGGGTTGAAAGGTGAAAATAACCCGGATCCATTTATATATTAATCAAAACTAAATAATGATTTTAAAAATAATCATATCTTATCAACTTAATAGATTGAGATAAATTTAATAAATTATTTTTGATATAATGAGATTACATTGACATCCAAAAAGAAAAATTTATGCTTGTTATGACTACTGCGCGTTAGACCATTTTGAGTAAAAGGATTGTTTTTTGTGACGATGACACCTTAATAGTTCTTTTTAGTTTGGCTAAGTTGTGTTAATAATTACCCTCCAAGCAATTTTATTTTCTCTTTCTTTTCTTTTGATTTTAAATACACACTAAATTAATTTTTTATTGTCTCCCAAGGATAGTTATTAATAATTTAATCATTTTCTTTCTCTTTTTCCACTAATATTTAACCTTTCTTTCAATTTATTAATATTCCAAACATCTTTAAAACTTAACTTTAAGCACTTGAAAAAATGCTCTTGTGATAATTACTGACGCAACAATTCACCTTCAATTTTACCCAACGCCATAAGGGACAAATAGATGTGTTTCTAACATCATCATTTTGGATTTAAAATTCAAGAAAAAAAATCATAAAAAAATAAAATATTCATAAATGCTTAGGTCGGATGGTCTTAAAACCAAACAAAAGATATACTCTCGGTGTGTGAAAATTAAATTGACCCAACGACACGTGAAAATTAAATTGACCCAACAACACATTGATTAAAAAAAATTGCATGCACTTGAGGTCACAGCTCAATGATGAAGTTGAGGGTCGTTCACCGATGATATTCGAGTTCAAATCTTTCTCGTGGATGCTTATCACTTTTACGATGTCTTATCTCGTTTATCGAAGCTTACAAGGTGTTTAATAAATCCAAAAATTAATCGAGCGTACACACAAACTTACTCAAACTGATAGGACAATTTAGTTTATCAAAAACTAAAAAAAGGTTGCGCATTATTTGGTGCAAAAAGCTTGCCGTGCCTCAATGACGCTGATGGAACGCGGATAAACTCGCCAACAAAAAAGAACAAAAAAATCAAATAAAAAAACTCAAACGTCAGCCTTTGCCCTTTGGGGAAGGCAATATTCATGTTGCTCTGTCGTACAATTTGTCAATGGCCATGGTAAAATGGAATATTCATACGTGCATATCAAGATAACGGCCGAGGTGATGGCACGGCCAGAAATTTTATACTATAATATATAATAATTATTTTATAAAGTTATTTTGAAAAAAAAATTATATTTAAATTTAACAAAAATGATAAGAAAATTTTAATCGTTTGTTCGATTCTATTTTTAATTTTTTCTATAATATTTTTTTTCTATTTGACTCCATAAACTAATTATTATACATATTATTAGTAATTCGTTAGATATTATAAAATTTCTCATGGCACGTATAAAAATCTTCAGACAAAAATGCTGAAACAACGTCATCACTTGGGACTCACGATCGAGCATTCTTTGGACGTCGATCAAGGGAAAAGAGACTGGTTTTCGTAGGCAAAAGACATAGTTTCTTTATTTAATTTTTCATTTTGTCATTGGATGTTCAAATTTTGGTGGAAAAAAGAGAGACAAAACTGAATGAATTTTTTTTTATTTTTAATTTAATATATTTTGATGAATTTACAACGTGAAATAAAATTTTAAATTAAAATAATTTTTTATATATTTTATTTGATTTGTAGCATAATATCAGTTAAAAATCATAATTTTTCCAAGCAGACCGTAAATTAAGCATGCCTGTGGTGGACCGTGGCTCATGTTCCTCGGCAATCTAGAATGCACGTAATTTGTAGTTTAGAAGTCATACATGGAATTTTTCTTCTCACCGGCTCGCGAACGGTCGCTTCGCCCCTACACGCCTGTTTTTTCAATTGAAAAAGGCTAAGACTCGTGTACCGTGACGAAATCAAATGTCTCTAAAATTCATAGGAAGGTTCGAACATTTTTGAAAAAAGGAAAAACAAGAAAAAGTTCAAACGTTGAACTCACGGGCGGACCAAAGCCAGAATGGAAAGTTTCATTAGTACTTATATTTGTATGGACCTTTCAATTACATCTTTAAAAAAGGATAAATTACAATTATCTTGTTGAAGTATCATGAAATAGAAACTGCTCAAAAGATTAAATATTATGACAAAAAAACCCCTTCTTTATTTTAGAAAATATTACAAACCTCCACTTCTTTTTATATACACTATTAAAAAAGATCTATAAATTAAAACAGTAACTTAATGGTTTTATTACAAAATATTAAATAAAGATACATTCAATCGATTATGGTTTTATTACAAAATAGATAATTTCTTATTTAAGTGGCTTTTCACAAAATACAAAAGAAATAGAACTTTTAGGAAAAGAAAATTCAAAACAGTAGCTTAATGGTTAGTGAAAAATTCAACAGAACGTCTTTTGTTTTCTAAAACTGGACTTATCAGGAATTTTTTCAAAAACCTATAAGGCCATGTCCAGGTTGTCTGACAGGTTAAGAAGAACTTGTATTTCGGTCCATACTATTATGGGCTTCCTCACAACAACAATATGGGCCTTAATGTTGGGTTGGCTGCATTGCATCCTCTCCTAAGTCCTAACTGCTGAAAAAAAGGAAAAAGAGGGGGGGGAAAAAAACAGACTATTGCCTCCTTTCTCTCTTACGAGATCAACGAAACCTTAAAAAAGCACAATTTCTAGGGTTTCACGGTAAAGTTAGGGTTACCGACCATGTACAGGACTACAATTTCACGCCTTAGAGCTCTCAAGGTCAGCTCTTTGAAACCCAATACAACCCACTTTCTGTCTGGTTCTCGAGGAAATTCTTCAAGATTGAAGAAACTGTCACTCTCTTTTTTAAGACAAAAATGAAGCTAAAGTAAATGTTTTTCTTGATTAATTTCAACGATTATATGCCGAAGAGTGGAACTTGTTTCCTTTTCGTTCTAATGTGCTTGTTTGGTCGTACATTTTGTTAAGACTAGTATATTTAGATTTGTTTTAGTTCTGATTTTGATTACTGAAGATGATGACATTATTTAGTGTTGAAATCTATGAATTTGGTTTTGTTTGCTTAAATTTTTTGCCAAACAAATCGAACCCATAACGTTTTTCAAGTTAGATTACTGTTTTCTTTAATGCTTTAGCCTAATCGGGCTCCATTTCCTGTCTAAAATGTGGAATAGTCAATGTTGATGATAGGATAGTGCTTTTATGGTAATGTGAAAGGTAGCTATGATGATAGTTTCAGTCTTTTGAGTAGATTAGCTTTGTTTCCTGCAAATACAGTTGGTGTTTGTGGATTAATTGGTAGGCTATTGGTATTTTTATTTGCTTTCTTCTTTACCGAATGTAGTGGACATGGTTGATCTGACTAAAATGTGATACGCCTCCCTTTTAATGATATTTGCATGAATAGGGTCGTGCCGGGAATTTGGGAACTGCTTGGTATGCTACTTCAAGTGCAGTAGCTTCTAGGCCATCCTCACCAGGCTTCTTTACCTGGCTGACTGGAGAAAAGACTACTTCTCTTCCTCCCTTGGAAGTACCGCTTGCAGGTGTTGCCCTCCCACCTTCATTACCCGACTACGTCCAACCAGGAAAGGTTAAATCAAAAGTTCTGGAAAATGGTTTGACGATAGTCTCAGAAGCATCATCGGTATGCTCCTATTATTTTTTTTTAATACCTTTCTATGCTTTAATTTACTGTACTCTGAGTTTCCTTTATGTGGCGACTTATAATTATTATTTTCATTTTCTTGTTTTATAATCTTAAGAAGCTTATTTGCTTGGTTGATTAGAATCCTGCAGCCTCCGTAGGATTATATCTTGATTGTGGTTCTGTCTATGAGACTCCCATTTCATGCGGAGCAACCCACTTGCTTGAAAGGATGGCATTCAAGAGTACTAGAAACAGGAGTCATTTGCGCATTGTCAGGGAAGTTGAGGCAATCGGGGGTAATGTAGCAGCTTCAGCCTCTCGAGAACAGATGGGATACACTTTTGATGCTCTTAAGACATATGCTCCTGAGATGGTAGAGCTGCTTATTGATTGTGTAAGGAATCCTGTCTTCTTGGATTGGGAAGTTAATCAAGAGGTAATCATTTTAGATCATGCCTTTTTTTGTTTCCCATTCTGATCAAGTTTAAATATGTTTGCTAATGTTGTTTTTCATAGCTCTCCAATAGTTTAGAAGGCTCCTTTTTGTTATCACTATATTGTCTTAGGTTTTGATGGATCTATGTCCTTGCATGCTTCGATCCTAGATGATGCATCTCCATAAAGGCATTTTGATTTATTTTCTTTCTTTCTTTCTTTCTGTTTTTTTGACTATTATGTGCATGCTATCATCCACTAAATTACATACATCCACACTGCAGGCGAGTCAAAAATATTAGAATTTTTATTTCTATATCTCAATGTACTTTTATTATATATTAAACATGTTGTACTAGCAAGTGACAAGTTGAATACTTTTCTTCTAATCATCTCTGGTGCTCTGTTGTATAGCATTCTAGACTCTAGACTTTTAATAGGAGCGCACTTCCATTAAACAGCACAGAAGGTTTTAAAATACATGCTTTCAGCATCTGTAAAAATCTTTAACTATGTTCGCTCTGCTTTACAAATTTTCTTTATGTTTCTTTTATATTTCACTTACACCATAGAAGAATGATGGACGGTTCTTAGGACATTCTGTAGTTTCTGCGTCTGATGCATTTAATTCATGTTGGAGGGGGCAACACTTGGAGTGTTGCTCTCTGTCAGTTTTCAACCATAATTGATGCTTCCATTTATCATTGCCCTCGCTCGCTCATCCTTTTTAGAGTCTGCACTAAATGTCTTGATTTTATTAATATTCCAATTTTTCATCTGTACAGCTGAAAAAGGTGAAAGATGAAATTGCGGAGCTCTCTAAAAATCCTGAAGGCTTACTGCTGGAGGCTATTCATTCTGCTGGTTTTCATGGTCCATTGGCGAATCCTCTTTTGGCTCCAGAATCATCACTAGACAGACTGAATGGTGACATTTTAGAGGAATTTGTAGCTGTGAGACCAACTCTATGAATACTGAACATTTGTTAATATGCTATGACACCTTTTTATGTTCATTAAACTTTGTCCTCTTCTCCATGTGTCCGTTCTTTTACTCATTGATATCTGATGTGGAATTTCAGAAGCACTACACAGCTCCTAGGATGGTCCTTGCTGCATCTGGGATTGAATTCGAGGAGCTTGTCTCTGTTGCAGAGCCACTGCTTTCCGACCTCCCACGGGTGATACACACTGATGAGCCAAAATCCATGTATGTTGGAGGGGACTATCGCAAACAAGCTGCTTCACAGGTTTATATTATTTAGCACCCATTGATTTATCTTTTGCCCTTTTTGTGGGGGCTACATCATCATTAGTTTAAATTATATTTATGTATCCAAATTTTCTTTCAATGGTATTTACATGTCTGACTTCTTAATTGGCCAGTTGGCACATGTTGCTCTAGCTTTTGAAGCTCGTGGAGGATGGCATAAAGAGAAAGATGCTATAGTGTTGACTGTTCTTCAGGTTCTGCATGTTGACTTTGCTTTTTAAGTTTGTTTGCAGAATTATCTTTCTTATTCCTTGGTTGCCTTTTACATCCTATCCTTGGCTTTTCAATTTTGCATTTCATTATAGGACAAATGGAGTGTATAACAGTCATGATACTCTTTACAGATGCTTATGGGAGGAGGTGGCTCATTCTCTGCAGGGGGGCCTGGAAAAGGGATGCACTCACGACTTTGTAAGTTGCACATGTGCACCTCTCTATTGTTACTATAGCCTAATTATTTGTTTGTGCACTATTTTTTGTTCTTCTCTCTGCAACTGAACTTCTCATTTAGCTTTCTGACTTCTGTTTAATTGTGCCAGTTTCTGCACGTTATACTAATTTTTTCTTTTCATGCCAACTTTCTTTTGAATGCATTTAAACACAGATATCCGTGCCTTGAGCAAGTATTCAGAACTCCAATCTTTCTCTGCATTCAACAGCATCTTCAATAAAACTGGATTGTTTGGCATCTATGCTAGCTGTGTAAGACCACTGGCCCATGTAATTTTGTGTGTAAATTTTTCCTGAAGAACTTTCCTGTTCTGTTTTTTATTTCTTTTGGAAAAAAATTAAGTGACTTTTGTGCACATCCTCGCTTAGTTGTGCTGTTTTGCTTGAGATCCTTTTTGATGCTTAACTTGTTGATGTTGGTAACCATACTGTTTGGTTTTTCTGTTCATGATATGCATGCTATCATACATAGCCCTTGAGTGACATGATGCATGCCATCAGTACTTATTTATAGTCTGTTAATTGCTTAGAAATTAGTTGAGTGGGCATAACTTTGCAGAAGGCTACAATTTTATATATATATATATATATATAAATGGCTGCTGTTGATAGTACTTAACGCTTGAACGTCTCTCGTTGAAATCAGGGCCCGAACTTTGTGCATAAAGCAGTTGATATAGCAGTGGCTGAACTAATTGCCATTGCAACACCTGGACAAGGTTTCCCTTTTGCTCCTCATTTTGTGTATTTGATAGGCTACTTCTGCCTCTGTAGCAGGCCTGACAGAGCTCCTTTTTTATCTCCTCCCCCACCCCCAAACTTCTTTTGTTGCAGTTACCGGGGAACAGCTTAATCGTGCCAAGGAGTCCACAAAATCTGCAGTTTTGTTTAATCTCGAATCTAGGGTACTCTCTCTCTCTCTCTCTCTTGTTGTGCCTACCTTATCTGGTCTTTGTGTTTGCTATGTCTTGGGCCTCTTGGCAGCGCATGTCATGGATATAATGGAGTATTTGTTAAGTTTATACGTTTTTACTTCCCCTGTTCCCTCCCAATGCCTCTGTTCTTTTTTTTTTTTTTTTTTTGAGGTTATGATTGTTCTATGATTGTGTTTGGCAGATGATTGTAGCCGAAGATATTGGGAGACAGTTTTTGACTTATGGAGAAAGGTATTGCCAGAGCATATGTACTCTTATTCTCTATCTACGACTCTGTGATCAGAGCTTTTTACATTCTTTTTTCTGTTTTCTTGCATCGTTATGCTGGTGTTATATGCATGTAAACAAGCATGACTTTCAGAATATGCCCACACTATCAGGTTCCCTCTCATTGTAGTTATATTCCAGAGAGTGTGAACCATTGGTCGCAAAATTTGGAGCAGTTCTGCTATCAAAGTATCATTTTAATTTGTAGAAACAGGGTTCCGTGATTCTGGTCACAGTTCAACGATTATTTTCAGAAACTCAGTTGTTTGGAGAAGAGGGGGAATGTTGCAGGGCAAAGCATTTACCCGCCTATATAAATAGATTTCAGAATTTCTTGTGGATTATATTTGTTTGTTATTGATGGTAAAAGAAAGGCTCATCCAAATGCGGGCAAGAAGTATCTGAAAGCATTCTTTTCTTATAAGTATTTTTGCATAAAGTGGCTGCTCTCCAGATTAAAACTTGTGTTTGAATCTTGGTTTTCTTTCTATTGCTCCTAGAATTTAGAAATAGTTCATTTACCAGTGGAAAATGCATACCTTTTTTTTTTACTGCTAATTTTGCCTCAAGAAACGAATTTAAATTTCATTTTGGTGACATGACTATCTTTCATCTTCTCAGGAAGCCTGTGGAACACTTTATAAAGGCTGTGGATGAAATCACATTGGATGACATTACTTCCATTGGATGCTCGCTAATTAGGTCACCTCTAACAATGGCATCTTATGGGGACGGTATTGTCTAATTTTCAGTTTTAACAAGAAGAAAATTTCTAATTTTCAGCAAGTTCTCATATGTTTTTGTTTGTTGCAATATAATTGCGTTGTAACATTTTTGTTCTTTGGTGGCAGTTCTTAATGTCCCCAGCTATGAAAGTGTTAGCTCCAAGTTCGAACGGGTAGGAAAGTAAGAAGCTGTACCATCGGCCATCATCTTTGGACCAACCGGCCGCATTGGAGTTCTCATTTTGTTTTCAGTTTGTTGAAAATAAAGGAAATTGGTAAAGAAACTCGTCTAGATTAGTAGAGAGAAATACAATCCATCCAAAACTGTTACCATCAGATGTGTAATAACTTGATCGGAATTTGGATGGATCGTGAGTGTTCATGTCCATGATTATCGATCATGGAAAGTTTTGGATATTTGTTTTCTTCTTTTCCCTTGATTTTACTTAACAAATTGAACAATGATTTGTTTTTTAGATAGCCCAAATAAAAACTCTGTTCCCGTTTATAAATATATCTCGTTTCCTCCTCTTTGTTTGTTCTTGACTTTATGAATGACGGGTTAATTTTAGTTTACCTCTTTGAGATTTGGGAAGAATTTAGTTTCACAAGCTGAACTTCCATTATATCAATGTTCATAAGGTATCTTAGCATTAAAGAAATATTTTAATTCAACATAAAAATATTTTTTCAGTTCTTAAAGTTTTGAAATTTGATCAAATAGAACATTTTAAAAATAATTTTATGAGATCAAATTCTCTACTCCAATTGAAGGGTCCAAACAATACCATATATATTATTTATATTTAAAAATATAAGATATCCTGTTAATAATAATAATAAAAAATTAACTTGTAAGGATCTTATTGCACAAACTTTATAATTTAGAGACTAAAATGTTTTTTTAACTTTGAGGGCAAAAAACTTCTAAATAAAGGACTAAATTGTGTTAAAATTAACTTTGTGAACCAAAAAAATTTTGTACAATAAAATAAACTTCTAAATGAAGGACTAAATTGTGTTAAAATTAACTTTGTGAACCAAAATAATTGTGTGCAACGATTACAAATATTAAAATAATTTTTTTGACAAATTATAATTTAAACGTATTAAATAGTTATTAAATGAGTGGGTAAATAGGGTATGAATTTAGAGGGTAATATTTTAATGGACATGAACGGAATAGTTTGATATATATTCTACTTTTTTTAAAATCTTTTATTTATATTTTTAAATATAAATTATATATGCATTATTTTTTAATTGAACATAAAATATTTTTTCTCATCAAATTATTTATAAAAGACTATTTGATTAAAGTTCAAAAGTTCAGAAACTTATATATATATATATATATATATATATTAGTTGGTCCAATTTTGAAACCTCATAGAGAATATTGATACAATGAAGACCTTGAGGAGAGAAATTGAAATCGCCACAAACCGAGATAAATTAAAATTAACCCATAAATAACTTGCTAATGCCCTGATGGTGGACAAGTCCTTTCTTCTTTTCTTGAAGATGGTAGGTAAACAGGGTCGGGCCAATGAATTTACGTCTAGCGTCATTCTCCATCTTCTTCCTGCATAAGATGAACGACTTGATAAGCTAGACATCGCTGGCAGAAGCAGGCTCGTTTCTAACTACTAGTTATACCATTACCGTCACTTCCCTCTGTTTACCATGGTTCTGTCATATCATTCTCCTGTGAAGAAAAATCTTTAGAGAAAGTACTAGAAAATTTGATTTGTTCACGCCAAGGAATAACATTACTTTGAGCATGATCAACAATCAATACAATGATCCAGTAAAAGATTCCAATTTAAATTCTTGCTTAAGTAATGAATTGGTATCTTTAGAGTAATTCTACGAAAATTCTTATCTTTCCATTAGATATAGGAACCATTAATTTATTTAATGCTAAGATACCTTACAGGAAAAATGCTAAACAAGAAAGTACTGAACCCGAAGTCTCTGTTTCCTGATTTGGGAGGGTTTGTTAGTGACTTTTTAATCATTTCTCTATTCTCTAATCCTCTCTTTCGCTTAGGTTTTTTCTTCCCTGTTCACTCTGGCTTTAGTCATGCCTATGGCTAAGAGAGCAGCTCCTCTTGCTCTGTTCATGATGATAGCTCTTTTTGGAGGCTGTTTTGATGCTGGCTACAATGTTGGTGAATCTGCTGGCTGGACCTTTGGAGTCGACTATAGCCAGTGGGCTTCCACCAAGAAATTCCAACTCAGTGACACTCTTCGTATGCACCTGTCTATATTTTTTTTAAGCTCTAGGGATTGTGTCCAATACTAATGTAACATGATTCTTAATGACATAACAGTGAATGTGATTTCTTGCAATTTTTCAATTACAACACTCTGTTTCACAATGTTTTGCAAGTGACCAAAGAAGACAACAAATCTTACAATCTAAAATCCCCAGTTGCTACCTATGCTAGTGGCAATGACTCCATCACCCTTACTCTTACTTCGTCTGTGGTTTTATTCGTCATTGCCAATCCAATCGAGTTGGCAATGGATCAGATATAAAACATATATCTATTTTATATAATTCGATAAATATTCATAAAAATGTTCAATAAGTATTAAATGTGTAAGAGTAAAGAAATATATGTCCGTTAATATGATTTGAGGATATAAATATTCAATCCTCACCTTATTAATAACCATTGATTTATTTTGATTTTTTAAAAAACATATAGAGGTCCAATTATATAAACTTTAAAAATTAAGGTTCAAAATATATTTTCAAAAACTTTAAGGATACAAAACTTATAAAGAAATAATCAAAATGTAAAAAATTAAATTTTAAGATACAATTTTTTTTTTTTTGAAAATTACAAGAATTAAAATGAAATATTTTTGACATTATTTTTAACGGATATTAAATGAACTAATAAACTAACGTAGATCAGATCTGGATCGAATAAAAATTTATACGACAATTTCTTGATGAATAACACATAAAATATTTTTTATAAATAAAATAAAAATTAAATTAATATTGTATATCCGTTCATTTCCATCCCCAATTGCCAGGCAGGACTCAAAAGTTGATATCTCAGTCAGTGCCTCATCTTCTCAGAGCCACAAACCCCAAATTTCGACGTTGGTGCATCTCTCCATTCAGGTAACCTCAATGCAGCAATATTGGGCTCCATGACAATTTTATTTGCTGTTTTTTGTTTATTGATTAGGTAGACATTTTTTTGTAGTCCTCAGGAGTTTATCCTTTTGTTAGTATGTATTGCTTTTCTTTTTACGAACAATGCTTACAATTCAATTTGAAAATTTATAATTAGAATATTGCCATCAAATAAATCTTAATTCCTATTATTGGAGATCATAGACAAAGGATTAAAAATTCTAATAAAGTGAAATTAAAATTAAGAAAAAAAATTATCAGCTGGTATCAATTGTGTGACTCAATTGACTCTCTTGATCAATTTTTTTTTTTTTTTTATCATGTTGACCTGCTTGATTCTTTCATGATTATTTCTTGCAAAGGCTGATCAATTGATAATCTGGTTTATCGTTCCCCATAAACTTTTAAACGAAATAAAAATTGAAAAATAAACATTTAATTTGGAAGATATAATCAGTAACCCAAATACATTTTTGCCACTCTTTCCTTACTCCAATCAATTTGCTTTTTCCTCTGAGGTTAAGCTTCTTGATTCCATGAACAACTAAAACCAATTTTGATGCTTTCCAAAAAAAAAAAAAAAAAGGTATCTCAATGCTACAAATTGTCTTCTCCAACTCCATCATGTCTGCCTCCTCTCATCCAATAGCTTTGCATCCATGAAAAGGAATGATTTTTGCTTTTTAGCTTTCGCCCTTTCCTTTGCTGCCTTTTTATCTTCTTTGGTCATATCATTATAGCTTTTTTCACTATCCATGTTCAGTAAACTAGAAGCAATGAAAACTTCAAAATTTCTCCAGCTGAAACAGTATCCCATTAGTACCATAATTGAAAGAGTCAAAGCAAAAATCATTACTTTTCCCTTAAAAAAGTGTGAACGAGAGAGTCTTGCTATGATTTAGTTGCTTCTTCCATTTTTGCAGTTCTGTTTACTAATTAGATGATGAAATGATAATTTTATCAGAAACCTTACATCCATTTAACCAAAATATAAAGCAAACCAAATCCCAACAATAATGATATATAATTTCAATTTGTCGATCATTTTTAATCTCTGGAGCTTTGTTTGTTCTTTAACATTACTTGGATTTCCAACTCACTAAAGTAATTTTCGTCTCTTTTCAATCTAAAGGTGAAAAAAGAAAGTGAAAATTAAAAAGGATACTGTAATATCATCATCACCAGCAGCATCCTCTTTGGCACGGACAGCTTCAACAAGAGCAGCAGCAACCGCACCTCTGTCATCAATTCTCACACCGACAACTTCACTTTAAAAACTTGAAAAGAGACGCAAGGAAATAGAGTCCCATCAAAATAAGTTTAAAAGTATTTTTTTTAGTAATAAAGATTTAAAAATGCCTCATTTGAAAGTAAAAAAAAACTCCACTATAAGGTGACAATTGTTTTGAAAACTACACACTTTATGGAATTGAGAGCTTATTTCAAAGAAATTAGGTAAAATTGAAAAATATGTGGACAAAAACCCATTATTTGCAGCTCGATCACTAGAGGGACAAAGAATAGGGAAAATTAGATGTTAGTATGAAAAGTAACAGAGAAGCTATCAACTGCAGGGAATTCAGTTGGTGGCTGCAGCTGAACTCTTGCAGTCAAATCACAAATCAGAATTCACAATGATGCTGAAGCAGACAAGGTTGTACAAAGATTCTGTGTCGTCACTCCATCGTGTTCTCGCATGTGAAGGCAGTCTTTTCTACGACTTCCCTCTTATCTTAGATTCTGGAATAAATTTTATTACTTATTTTTTCTTATAATTAGAGATGAATATCAACGGTTTTCATTTTTATAGAGATTCGGGCATGATTTAATTTTAAGATTATTTTATCACATGAGGATAGATACAAATCTTTAAATTTAAACTAATCAAATATTTTATTACATTTATGTTGATGTGGATTTTAAATTGACATACGACGTGCTAATATCTATATCGAATATGCATGAATAATTTATTTTATTTTAATAATTTTTTTTCATGTATTTTTTTTTACTTTAACATATGTATTTTAAAAAGATTTATCGATTAAGTTCTTTTAATTTTATAAGTTAATATCCCTTGTTCAATCTTATTTCGCCATATTTGACCAGATTAAATAAATTAAAAAATTAAGATAACAAAATAACTATAACAATTTATTAAAATTAAAAGAGAATAAGAATAAAATGGGCTAAACCTATAGTTTGGCCCCATTTGTTATCCCTAATCAACTAATTAGGCCACTGTGTTATTAACTGAGTCAATTAAATCTGCTACCATCCTAATTAACTTTAAGGGTTGGCTTAGTCATCAAGAACGTTTGTTCTCTCTTTTAATTTCCTGAGTTCGAATATTGAAACTAGCATTTTAAAAAAAAATTTATTGTTTTAAATTTCTATCTTGATGTAAAAATATATTTTTAAAATTATTTATAAAAAAATTAATTTTAATTGACATGCAAACTGTTTAAAAATAACTTTTATTGTTGAAAAGAAATATAATTAATTAATCATCTAATAGATTTGACAATTGTCATAAAAATTTTATTAAGTTATGAAGATTAGTATAGATACGATCTGTATTTTAATGCATGTGCAGAGTCAATATGACAATTTCATTTTTCAAACAATATTTTTTGTATTTGTATCTATTAATTAAAAAAAATAACTAGAACTCTTAATGCAACTAGTTGAAATACAATTAATAAGAATTTCTAATATAACAGCAAAGTAAGTATACTTGTTAAATTACGTAAATTTTTATATTACGTAATTGTTTCTTAATTTTCTATTATATTTTTTTATTTGATTGGTTTACTAACACATTTTACGTATAATCACTGTATGGTTTTGAATTTGCTGTTACAGATTTGATGGTTAGCAGTAGTTGCATTGCCAATTTGCTTAATTAGAGAATATGTTAATGATTGCCGAGGTTATTACTTTTTATTTCTTTTATTTTTTTTCGTATTTTTCTATACTTTTTTTTCGTTTTAAGTTTCTTTTTATATGTTTGGGTTTTTAATTAATTTCAAATTTTATTTATTTAAATTTGGTATAAAAAAAAATAACAATATTAAAAAAAAAAAAAACAAGTTATCATGTGTCATGATTTTATAAAATTTAACAACATTAATTCATAAAATTAATAAAAAAAATTAAAATGTAAACTAATGTAAAGAAACAAAAAGAATAGAAAGATACAATGAATACCAAAAAAAAAAAAAAAGAGTGAGGGACCTTCGATAGAGGGCCTGACAACCATTCATGGCTAGCTCTTCTGGTTTTTCTAATACAGGGACCTTGGTTTTTTAGAGAAATTTTATAATACACAATGAGTAATTAGTGACATGTACGATAGTTACTCTTTAAGTCCACTTTGAGGAGAGAGATAGACACAAAAAAGAGAAAAATTACATCTATACCCACTAAAAGTGATAAGAAGATTTCTACGTCCGCTCAAATTTTTTTATTTTTTTCTCTCTTTTTGTGTGTCTATATCTTTTTTCAAAGTGGACTCGAGAGTAGTTATTGTACATGCCACTAGTTACTCCTTGTGTATTATAAAATTTTTCGGTTTTCTAGCTTGGAAGCTTTAATTGGTGGCTATTGTTGCCTCTCTTTGTTGCATTATTTCGAATAAATTATAAATTAATTCCTCTAGTTTTAAAAAATAAATTAACTAATCTCTTTTATTTCAAAAATTATTATTTAATCAGTGTTAATTATTTTTAATTTAATATTATTTTTATTTCATAAAAATTTTTATTTTCTCATCAATTTTTTTATTTTTTTATTTCTTAAAATAAAAAATAAAAATAAATTTAAAAGAAATAAAAATATTTAAATTACAAGTCCATTTCAAAACATAAAAACTAAATAATTAATTTTTAAAATATAAAGAATTAATTTATTTATTTCTCAGGAGACTAATTTATAATTTACTCCATTATTCCTGCTGTTAGTTTTTTCCATCTTCGAAGAATAAAAGACACCCACAAAAGTCTGAATGAATGAATTTATTTATTTATCGGGGGGACTAATTTATAATTTATGGACACTCCATTATTTCTGCTGTTTATCTTTAACATCTTCCAAGAATAAAAAGACACCGACAGATGCCTGAGAGGCACATGTGTCCAAACAAGAAAGTACAGGTGGTCTTCTATCACGTGGTGAAACTGAGCAAGAGCGTCCAAACAACCTTTGGAATCAAACGAAGCAAGTACTGATGATCCATGAACATGAGCCATAATCGCCACCAGCTAACCAAACCAAGCGTAGTCAATAACGGTAACAATTCACCAAGCAGAAAGCACTGACATCGGAGTCGTACATCATCTCCTATCTTCCCGGTCCATCTCTTAAAATGCAGAAATGACACAAAAAACTACAGAAGCAGAACACCATTTCTAAATCGTCACCTTAAGCTTAACCTGTAAGTAAATAAAAATAAAATAATATTCTCAGACCTCACACTGTATTTATGTCCACGAATTCAAATTTTATCATGTTTGATAGTAATTAAATAAGCTGTTTATCTACAAAATTCCGCCTACTTTAAAACGTGCTTGAAACTTTCTTGCCACTTTTATTTGGGAGAATGCGATGCTTTTCTCAAAAACATAAAAACGTGCTTGAAACGTGCTTTTATTTGGAGAAGAAAAGGACCCCACGCTTTTATTGGGAAAGGTAACGACACGTGGCTCCGCGTAAGGAAAGATGATATCTACGGACCACGACAAAAGTCACTATCCTAGGGCTATGCGCGGATATATATATTGATTTATCGATAAACGAATTGATTTCTAATCGATTTTTTTTTATCAAATCCTAGAATTATATTTTTTAAAAAAGATTAATTTTTGTTTCTTTTTATTCTCAATATGATATAGAGATGATTAGATAAAAAAAGAAAAATATATATGAGAAACTAAACATGTAATAGGATTCACGAGAGAAGCCGCCATTGATGATGAGAATCATTCCATTATTTTTAAAGCTTTCCCATAGAGGGTTTGATTGGTGAAAATTTATTTAATAGAAAAACATTTTCATAATTTTTCTATGTTTATTCTACATTAAATATTTTATGAAAAAATTAATCAGCATAGAATATTTTGTAATCGATGTATAAACTTTGTTTTTAACTGATGAAGTTTTTTTGTTAAGATAGCATTCAACTAATAACATCACAATATCATCTACCTATTTCAATCAGCACTGTTTTGTCATTATCATCGTCGCCATGTTGCCATAACCATCATCAAAGCACCACCTCGGGAATCGCCCTGTCCTCTGCTACTGTCCCCATCGTCACATCACTGCCACAACCACAACCACAGCCACAACCTCCCATAATTTATCTTATCAATATCATCATCTTTGTCCTGCTGCCATTATATTTTTTACATCACTTGCCAGATATATAAAATGGGTAATATATAAATTGAGGGTATTTTAAATCTAATTAGATAAAGAGTACATTATTAATTTTTACAACAAGAGTAGCATGTAACTAGTACTCGTACATATAATTGATGGGCGTATTTTTTTGGTCAAATTATCGTCAGCATATAGAACTGCGTAGGAGGACCAATCACCTCGTTACTATTGGTTGCAATGTTGATGCATGAAAACCTGGGATGGCAATAACAGATATAGAGCATATACTCGTTTTTTTTTATTTTAATAAATATTCATTAAAAATATTTAATGATTATTAAAATAAATATAAATAAAAAAACAATATTTTTACTAATATGATTTCAATATATAGGTAATCACTCTTTATCTTATGAGTACTCATTAACTTATTTAGATTTTTTTATTAACATACACGATCTAATTACAAGAAATATAAAAATTAAGGGTCAAAATATTTTTTAAAAAAACCTTTGAGAACCAAAAAACTTATAAATAAATATCCATATGCCAAAAAATTTTAAGGACAAAAAGATTTTTCTTGAAAATTATAAGGACTAAAATAAATATTTTTGAATAGTTAAATTTAGCAGGTATTAAATGTTTATTAAATAGACGAATAAACTAATATATGTCGGATATGGATTTGCGTAAAGATTTATATAGTGATTTCTTATTGAATAATAGTTAGAGTATTCTTTTTATAGTTAGTATAAAAATTGAATTAATGGACCAATTATCCGTCCATTGCCATCCCTAATGACAAACTGTAAGAGACAACTCGGAGTCTCAATAGTTCGAGATAGTTGAGATATGGATTGGTTTTTCTATTATAAAACAAACAACACGAGCTATGTACAAAACAGGTATACGTTTTATCCGACTCAATAAATACTTATTAAAAATATCTAATGGATATTAAAATGGATAAAAGTAAAAAAATACTTACCTATTAATATGGCTTTAAGGTATATGGATTCATTCTTTATCCTATTAATACCCACTAATTTATTTTGATTTTTTTTATTAACATACAAGAATCTAATTGCATAAATTTTAAAAATTAAAGACCAAAATATTTTTAAAAAAACTTTGAGAACCAAAAAAACTTATAAATAAATTACCAAAATTCAAAAAAATTACAAGGACGAATTTTTTTTTTTTTGAAATTATAGAGACTAAAAATGAATATTTTTGACAAATTATTTTTGTCTGATATTAATTAGGTGAGTAAAAATTTATATAAAAATTTTTTAATTAATAAATAATATAAAAACTAAATTAATATATCATGTATTCATTCATTGTCGTCTTTAACATGACAAGATGTCTGTTTAAAAACTTGGAAGAGATACTTCTGTGACAAATACACAAAAAAAGTTAAAACTTCCTTTAAGTAAAATATATATTAAGAGCTCTATTTTGTTGCTTTTCAATGGGAAAGAGTTCGAATATAAAATGATTAAAATAGTAAATTCTGGCTTTACTTGGACTTGTAGCTGTAGCCAGCCTGTAGGTAGATATCTGTATTCTTTTGATGATACCATCTCATCTTCGTGTATAAATAAGAAGAACCATGTGGTGATAAATGATGCCCAGAACTAGGGTCAATAACATCGCTGTGATTTTTTGTTTTTCTGTTTTGTTTTAAACGAGAAGTCCCTTCTTCCTGTGGGCTTTTATCTCATTAGGTGGCTTTTAACGAAGCTCTCTCTCTCTCTCTCTCTCTCTCTCTCAATCAAACTGATGGAACTTAACAACAGTTCCAATTTAATTATTTTGTTATCAATT